GCAGCATGCTGGGCTTTGGGGTGGGCGCTGCTCCCCTCGTGGCACTGCTGGGCCCGGCACAGTCTCAGGCTGAGTGTGGGGCTTTCTCATGGGAATGATCAAGGACAATAATTTCATTCCATCCATCCGAGGTCAGGCTGGAGGGGCTCTAAACACCCTGATCTAGCTGTGGGTGTTCCTGTTCTACTCCCTTCCTTCCTGGATTTGGAGCTATATGGAATTTATTAAGAGTATTTCCTTCAGCAATATGGAAGGACATAACAGTTTTGCTGTTGTGTCTTAATGAAGGTTGCTATTTTATCATAAAAATGTTACTGCTGTGTATGCAATGAGATTTTATGTGCAATATGTATCGTTCCTCCAGCAGATGCTTTTAAGCCTCCCTTTTTCGCATTAGGAAAATTTCGAAAATTAACTCCACAATTATTTTTTATGGAAAAAGACCTCAAAGTCAATGGTGCAGAAGGGACAGCTAAGGGAAATTCAGATGAGAGATTAACTCTGTGTAAATCTGGAAAAGGAACGGGAGGAAATTTAAGTTGCAAAATCTCTGTGGAAAGTCCTGGGAGTTTCATTACGAGATATTTAGAATTAAATGAAAGAAAAGCATTCCAACTACAGCAAAGCCAGCAAAGCTGCTTGGCTTATGGCAACGTGGCTCAGGCTGCCTGGCCAGTCTTCGGCAGGAGGTGGATATAAAGCTACAAATGACACACACAGAACATGAATGAGCACTTCCATGCTGGGAAATGCAGCTGGGTGCTGGCACGCAGGCTCCCTCACAGTTTCTCGGTGCAGAGCTGGAAGCTTTGTTTGCAGCACTGGGATTCCAGCCTCATTTTTCATGAGCCTAAAGATGTTGGGTGGAAAGCCCTCAGGTCAGCACTTCTGAAATGATCTCCTGCTTTCAGGTTTAGGACATCGTGTGCTCTGTTTGGAATGACAGGGGCTCCACCTGAAGCCAATAGGAACAGTTCCTCCAGGCCTTAACTCAGGCTAAGGCTGCCCCAGGGAACTGGTCCTTTGGGCTGCCAGGACACACTGCTGGCTCCTGTTTAATTCGGTGCTGAACGACTCAGTTTGGTCATCTGCCACAAAAGGGGTGTGATGCTGCTGAATGAGAATTACCAGTCGTAAAGGTGAGCACTTAATGATGTTTGACAAATGAGTACATGTTGTGAGAGACTTCTTAGGGGAAAAGGACATTATTTTGGTTCCAGTGAGGAGTGCTGCAGACATTCAGGCTTATCTCTCCTAGTGCTGTTCTGAAAGCTAAACATATTCCAGAGGTGTGTTTCCATTAATCAGGGCTCTAAGTGCAGATTCTGTATCTATTAAACATTTATGTCATGCAATAATCTCATCAGACGGACTTTAAAATATTTACATGCCTTAATAAATGTTTAAATTTTTTTGTAGCAGTGGAACTGGACTTCCCCTGAGCCAACAGACATTTCCACATCTTCCCGTGTTTCCAGCAAGAACTGAGAACAGAGAGTGCAGCAGAATATGCATGCTGCCCCATTCCAGCAAGGTAAAGGAGAAAGGAAGCAGATGGTTGAGATACCCTGCGTGGGGCAGAGAAAAGGGTTGGACAAACTGTTGTGCAAACATTTTTTACTTCCCAATTTTCCACAAAAAAATCTTATCTTGCAACCATTATAAACCATACCATGACCACAACAGTTGTCTGGGTGGCTGCTCTTCCAGCCATGGGCCTGACAGAGGTGAAGTACTGCATATTGATTATAGTGCCAATCCTATCTAGTGCCATACTCAGTTTCATGCCAAGATTCTACAGTCAAGCTTTGCTCTAAGCAAGGTAGTTCTCCCTAAGAGGCTAATATTGTCACCCATCATTTCAGTCTCATGCACATAGTACATAACCAGACATGGCATCTAGATGAGCCAGGTTTCATGTTTTTTTGGCATGGTTGTCTTACAGTGATTTATAAAAAGTCTTCAAAAATTTAATCTGCTTTCAACTACAAGCAAAGGCCAGCTGAAAATTAAACGTAGGAATGAGAGTGTTTTTCAGTATTTGAATTCAAGCATTTTAAATCTTTCATTTTGTATAAATAGCAAGCAGGGCTTTTTGGTAGGGTTTTGTTTATTCGCTTTTAAAGGCCTCAATGTCTTTCACTCCAGAGGAGGACCACAGTTTCCACAGCACTTAGGGCAAAAAAGCAATAAGAGTCTAAGTAGTTGAGATCTCAAATGGGAAACAGAAAGAAGAGTGATCAGCTGTTCTTTAAACATTAGATAAATACAATTGACTTGCATTTCCAAATCATCCATCCTTTTGCAATGAATTCAGATAATCTTGGTACTTGAGTTGTCCTCAGATCACTGATGTAATCAAGTTCAAAGAGCTAACTTCTATTTTGGAAAATCAACCAATTCCAGAGATAGACTTCTATGCTAAATGAAAGCTACCATCCATCTCTCTAGAACTAGAATTAATAGGATATGTCTATATTTCCACTTAGTAAAACTTTACTGAGTAAAAATTGGCTTAGTACTCAGAACAATCGAAATGAAACATTTGACATTCCTCCAGAACTTTGGATACGCCAAGAGAGAGAAAAAAAATTGGTTGTGTCAACACAGGGACAAATACTTGCTTCAAACTGAAATTGGAAAATACAGCTATGCATGATGTAAAGGCAGCCATAGCAAGAGGATTCTCAGGAAAGCAGCCTACTGGATGATTGCTTTCCAAATATAAACTGACTTTGCACAAGTGTTATTGATCATCATTTTTGGAAAAACATTTAGAATGTCGATATTACTAGAATGGTGTTCTACTTCAGCCAGAACATGGCAACAACTTCATTAATCAAAACCAGTAGACACCAGAAAATATGAGTGAACTGACAAATCTTTCTTAGTCCTTGTTCACAGTAAAACTTGTAATATAGATCAGAGAACTTGTAGATATTAAATTTCAAGGCACTACTAAGAAGTCGATTATTCCCAAAGATGTCTAGCAAATAATTCATTCAGTAACTTCCTTCACTAGTAAAGAGATTTAAAATTATTGAAGGAAAGCACTTCCTGGGCCTCTCAAGACTTTTATCGAGTCTTGTGAAGGGAACAAACACTCGACAGAGCAATCTGAAGAATGTTCAATCACATTAAGAGGCTGGTGAAATAAAAGAAGCAGCAAGTTTCAGGAATGGTCAGAGATTAGAAATAGAAGTGTAAATAGAGCATAAGATGAACTCTCCTGCATTTTATGTGAACAACTAGCAGGGCTGAAATCAAATTAAATTTTTAACTGCAGAGAAAGTAAAGCCCATCCAGAATGGGGGTACAGTTTTATTTCCACTTGAGAAACTCACTGTCCTCTAAGCCTTACAGTGCTGAATGACTAAAGAGACACACTACTGCTCTTGGGTACCCACAGAAAATATGGTAATTTTACATATTTAATTAAACATTTTGGTTCTCAGCTTTAATCATGTATTACTCGTGATCTGTTAAATCAGGATTTTCTAGAGTATCTTGCGTGACATGATCAAATTTCCATTGAATTCAACACAAACCTTTTCTGCAGCGAGTATGAGAATGATGCTTTAATGATAAAACACGTCTCTACTAGCTATTTCTCCCAGCCTCCATATATTGAAAGCTGATGTAGAGTACATATGGGAAAATGATGATCCAAAAGATAACAGAGGAATAGACTGACTTGGTTAGGAATGGATTAGAGATCACAGAACAACCTAGCCAAAAAGAAAAATCCTACTGGAGACTTCTGATACCTTCAGAAGTGCTTTTGAGCATCACTGTGCTCTTCTCTTAGCAGTTTGTAATTTAATTAGCATATTCTATTGCTATTTTCTGCTTCACTAAAGAGACTACCCACTTTACAATAGCAATGTTACTATAAGAATGGATTTCAAACACTCTATTTCACTAGTGCTTCCTAATGTGTGTATTCTGCATTACTCACATGATACTCAGAACTGAAGCCAAATAGCAAATCCATTAAGAAGATCATAAGCCTTATTCTGAGGCCTGATTCTTCAAACTAGACTGCATTTATAAGGCCTTAATCCTCATGCCATTTTAATTTTTGTATAAGAAAAGTCTAATTTAGTTGGCAAATCGTAAAAAGAATTGCAATTAATTTGCTGCTCACCAGTTTTTCCATCATCAACATTCTAAAAGCCCCAGAGAAATGAGTGCATTCAACACTGGAATGAAAGAGGAGATCACAAATTTAAACCTCTCAGATTAATGCAAGATGTACAGTGATGCTGAAAAACTCAAAATGTTGATCTAAATAGGTTAAAACACACACCCTCCCCTGTGTCCAACAGCATAATCCAGCTGTGGAACTATCCTGGCTACTTTAAAAAGTTGTAGTTTAAGAAATGAAATTTTCCTGTCAAGCACACTCATAGAACAACTGAGATGGCCACAAAATTCTTCAAAATGCCAAACAGTGCCCATTTCAGAGAACTTGCCCTTACTTCTGGTTACCATATGGACAGTTCTGAAGCAGATCAGAGTAGACAGTGGGAATGGCCACCCCACAGGAGCACTCCAGCTGTTACTCAGCATCAGGTAACAGACAGTAGCTCATAAAGGCAAAGCAACTGGAGTTTCTGGCTGGTCTATCTCATCAGAAGAGTAGGAATGGTACAAGAAGTTGCAGGAGGAGCTTTTAGAGGAATTGCAGCTTAAATTAGGTGAATAAGGAAACATGAATATGAGCAAAATAAAGAAAATGCTACTTGCTGAAATAAAAATCAAATGGATGTAAATCACTCATAGCCCTAAATAGGCTAGAAAAAACACTAAGGGAGATATGAAAGAATATTCTTCAGGTAGAAGGGAGGAAAATATTCATTTTAGTACAAAGAGTGATCATTTTATCAGCAAGACTATAAAATATAGCTGTTTTGATAAAGAGACAGAATAGCAACTCAGGATGTATCTTTCAATTGAATGCTCTAAATGGTACGTAAGGGACTTGTTATTCTGTCTTTAATATAATGTTATTAACATTTCTTACACATGTGCAGAAAAGAAATGGAGTCATATTAGGATAAGCATAAAAATCAAATTAGTGGTCTACTGTAGCAAAGTAGACTTGACCAGAGTTAAAATTAATCTAAGGGTTTTTGAGCAGATGACAGATTCTCTTGGATACAACAACTTTTTTGTGCCTTCTCCCAGGTTATCATTGTGCAATGGGGTAACACACCCTCCAGAACTTGGTCATTAGGGTTTTTCTCCTTCATAATGTTTGTGCAGAAGAGCTAGCAAACCTGCATGTTTAATTTTAGATGCCTCTTCCACACAGGAATCAAAACCTTTCCATGCCACAGATTATTCAAGATGTGTATTTCTGCTTTTCAAATTTCACTGAATTTGTCCCATTTGACATTTCTTTCCCAATTCTGCAGTCTGATCACTCACCCACCTGCCAGCAGGCCGTAACACCAGATGTTGATTATTTACTGTGAAAATATTGAGCACAGTAAGGATCCTGCCATGGCCAAACAGCACGGTGCCCTCAAGCATCATGTAAGTACAGATCACAAGTACCTCAAGAAATTTTAATTGTCAAGAATCTTGCAATCTGTTTTAAAAGGGCTTTAAAATCCAATAACTCTAATGAGAAAAGCATTTGAAATACTTATTAATACAGACGGCAGTTCTATCAGAATAAAAAATCTTGCATCTAAGTCTGTACCAAAAGCAAACAGCCATGAATGAAAATAAACAGATAAGTTTAAAAAAATAAAATAAAATTAACATTTAGTCCATTTTAAACAATTTAATAGGAGTATTTCCTGCAATGCTACATACAACTAGTTTAAATAACATTAATAGAAACTAAGAGAAGTCAGAGAACTTGAAGTTAGAAAGATTTCATCTTTCACATAATAAAAGACATAATACATATGATTCATTCAAACAACTATGTCATTTAGCTCTAACAAAAAGCTCAAATAAAAACTTTAAAATGAGAGTGCTAAGTCAGGCATCTAAATCCATGTCTAGGCACTGAATAGCTGGTTTAATTTGCAGAATTACACTTCCAATTTCCACAGAGTTTAAGGCGACCAACATCTGTAGAAGCCCCATTACCACTTATGCATTTAATTAACTTAATTCATTTGAGTAGGTCCATTGAATTAAAAGGGACAATTCATATCCATAAATTCCAGGACTAATGTTTACAGATTTACAGCTTACACTGATAGGTGGATTTAGTTGTCTAATTTAATTCTCAAAATTAAAAACTTTTGATAATAACATCTGAAATCTGAGTTATGTAATTATGCATTTATGATGTATGCTGCAGTCTTTAAAAAACACATGCCACGAGGAATTTCCAGTAGATTATAAACCAGAGCAATCAGTGTACTTTTTTCTAAGTGGTAACCAGAGTCTTCACGATCAATGCATTATCTGAAATACTGTGGTATAGAAATAAGATAAATCATTCAGAAGCAGTCATTCCTGATGAACAATATTATTTCTAGAGCTTGAAAGCAGAAATCCTGTTAGCAAGAACGGAGGTTTCTGCTTGGAAGTGGATGATGTAGACAGCTCTGGAATTTCAAAAGTTTATGTAACTTCCTATGTGCCTAAAGTAGCAACATAATCTTTCATCCCCCAAGTTTTAGTCTGGGATAAGCATTTGTGTTTGAATCAACACCTCGAAATACTTCCTTCAAGTCAGGACACTGGCCATCACAACACTGTTAATATGAGTTAGTCCAACGTTTCTTCCAGTTGCTAAATGAAAAGACACTTTCCAGCACATAATTTATCCCTTATTATTGATCAGGTCAGTCTCACGTTCTCTCTCTTCACTACACTCTTCTAATAAATTACATCAGTAAAATAATTAGGTTGCTTTTTTTAGCAGAAAGAAAAAGGGCTCAGTCCTGCAGACACTTTTCAAGTGCCTGATTTTATAAATGATGATATTTCTATTAGCATACATGAAGCTTGTGACAAAACATTTTAACAATCAGGGTACAAATCACTCTAGCAGTTATTATTGATACCAAGTCTGCAGTGGTCAGAGTTACAGCACTGAAATTGCAAGATAAGAACTTACCAGCTAATCAGGTCTATGAAAGAGAACTCATCTGTGGTATCCTATCCACTACTGTGGGAAGATGAGAACATATAACCACTTAATATTAGGGAAGAAAAACAAGGTAAGTCACTGATTGTTTTTTACCCTCTTTGTCACCACTGAATAAGAAATTAAGAGATTGTTTTGGTTTGCACTAACAGATAAGAAACAGTTCTTTTAAAAGACCAGCTCTTTTAAAAATGTAGAACTTGATAAAGGGTTGATGTGTCCTTCATTGTTTCTGCTCAGATGTTTTCAACTAGCAGCCATCCACCTTGTTTTCCAGTCTAAAGGCCTCAAGTCTCCTCCTAGATCCATCCTTTTTTACCAATCCAAACCACAATGATTAAGGCTGTTTTGCAACTGTGTCAACTTGATTTACTTAGACCAAATGGAACGACCATTTTGAGGACCATCAAGTGGAATGATTGCTCATCTCAGTACTTCAGGAAAAGTCATTGCATCCATTGAAATCATTAATCTCCAACATCACCATCTCTGTCACCTATGAGCCATAGAAAATGAAAACCTACAGCTAATAAGGCAGTTCCAAGCAGATCTCCCAGTGCAGTAAGATAAGGGATAGAAAAACTGTCAGGATCCTTTCCCTTTTTCCAGAAGTGGTGCACCATCCAGTCAGCAATCCATAACAGAGTAAACACCTATGGAATAACAACCAAAATCTGTATTATTCTCACTTGAATTACACTGTAAAAGAGCCAACAGACAACGACATTCTAGAATTTAGCAATTTTGTACATGAATGCTTTTGAAAAAAAATAAACAATCAATGTGAATTAATTTTAGATTGAAACTACCTAACAGTGGGGACATTTATCCAACTTCTCCTAGAAAATCATGCGCACAGGGAGAAAGAACACAATGAGTCACTGACAGCATTCTTCCTCCAGTCTATGAGAATTTCTGACAATTGTAAGAACACCAACCAAATGTGCAAATTGCACTTCCTACACATGACATCACTCTGTGTACAGTGAGGACATAAATGGGCTTTCAAGATCACACACAACTGACTGGTGCTACCCAGATGAGAGCACTCAACACAGGCACTGCTCTTGTTTCCACAAATCTAGACCACCAATGAAATCAGACGTGGTATGAGGAATATGGGGTCAGATTAAGAACAACTCCATCTGGATAATGTGAAATACCGAGAATGACCCAGACACTACTTTTGTGTGTGACACACCAATTTCATGTGCAGCCCTGCTGTATGAGGCACACCTGCAATATATATTATGAAACTGTCACTCCAGGCTGAATTTGTCCCAAAGATTCATTCCAAACCGTGAAAGTCTGAACATTCTAGAGGTTCGATTTTGATATCAAAGATATGCATAATTATTAACCCAGTTTTAGAAAAGAATTATTTTAATGTTACATAGCTGTATGGTAAAGGATTCCGGTTCAGTGGAATCATGCGGTGTGACATGGCACAAGATGAATGGAGAGAAGACCTCTAACCGAGCTTCCGTTTCTTGCGTCTTCTGAAGAGCTGCTTAAACTGAGTTAAGTGTATTTTATGCATTTCAGTTAATCAGATCTTTTAGGAAGGTTGAACTTAAAAAGTTATCACCAAATTCATTTTCAAAAAGTCATACAACATACATATAGAAGAACAGTAACAAAAGTAGTGTAAGGTAGAAGATTCACATTTTGCTCCGTTAATTATCAATTCTTGGAATTGAAAACGTGCGTATATGTATGCATTTGTTAAACGAAATACTGAAATGATATCTGCCAAACATTCCCCATAATACAAAATACTGTACAACAAATATCAAAAAAGAGAAAAAAACTTTTTAAAAAGTTCAAGTATTCCATCTTTGCTCTGCAGAAGTATATTTCAAAACACAAACCCAATTTCTAATTACAAAAAAAAAAAAAAAAAAAAAAAAAGGGGAGGAGGGAGAACGAAGAATATTTGCTTAATGAAAAATGCATGGCTTATTTATCTAAACATATCTTCTGAAAAAGGAACTCTGTAGTCTAAGCTAATTATGCAAGTCCTAGGTGCGCTGACTGGAATCCAAACAAATATATTTCAAACAGATGTTTTCTTTGGAAGACTATCAGATTCTTTGAGTCAGCTCCTTCTTCTAACACGGACAAAAAGAGGTCTGTTTATGAAAGACACTGCATAGTAACATCACCTACAGGATGTGCACAATACTCTGCAGTGCCCCACAGCTACTATAGCTCTGCTACTGTATGTTCTATTAGAAGATGAGAGCATTCACTGAAAAAGTAACTCGTATTTCACAATCATTAACACATGACATACACAACCCAACTGAAATAGCAGTGTATATTTCTGTATTTTAAAAGTAATAACATGAAAACTCATCATTTGCCTATATACTTTTGACCCTAAAGCAACGGACTTTGACTGTTGAGAAGAATATGTAGTTTGGAAATTAAGTTTTGTGAACCTTCCCAAATAATTTCTTTTGGCATGTTAGCTTATGGGTATATAACACACAACACAAATTACAAGAAACCCGTAATAGGAAAGAAGTTGTAAGATGATATTTTGTCAACTGATGACTGCAACGGTAGATGATGGCAGTTGAGACACAGCACTTACAGGGTAAGTTATGAGACTGCAGTCTGTCAGCCTTTATTTGGAGGAAGGAATAATAATGTTATTATTGAGCATTCGCACACCTAGAAGCTCACTAACATTTAAGAATTATACAGATCTGATTTTGGAAATGGTAAGTAGTCGGTAAGAAATATATGGCCACAGTGTTGAAAGGCAGAAGTCAATCAATGTAACTTAAATCTTCATGAGATTTTGCTTCCAATCAATGTTAGGAGGAGGAAATCAAAGTCATCAACCAACAAATTTTGTCAAATTTTTGGCTAAAAATAAGCAAAACTTCTACTATGAGTTTGCTGACTTTTTTTTGAAAGTAAGACAATTCTTGCATTTCAAGTGATAAGAAAAGTCACTTGCAAAGATCTAACAGGTGAAATAAAAGGAGAAGTGTAAAGGAGAGCAAAGACTAATAAAAAGGAAAGGTTTCTTAAGAACAGGTGGAAAATTACATAATAGACATTTTAAGACAGTGTAGTGGCACAGCAATTTTCATTTGCCGGGATCTGTCGTGACCTATACTCATTTCAGCAAATTCACACATATGGCATAGTAGTATAAGTACAGCTTACTTCTACTCGGCTCTCATTCTACAAATAAGTCTTCATAGCTCAAGTTGAAAGCCAACTGTTCTTGAGGGAAAAAACAAAGTTGTCATCAGTACTGAAAAGCCATAAAAAGCCCATGAAATGCTGTAGGAAAGTGAGAAGAAATGCTTGAAAATGTATGCAGAGCTGTTGTTTTAGTTTAAAATATTAGTTCACGTCTATTTAATATGAAGAGAACAATGCAGTGCTTTTTGAAGGAAAAAACAAAAAAAGTAGAATTACAAAACAATAGCATAGGAATTCTTCAGGACTGAAGAATGAGATAACCCTGTGGTTTAAGGAGGGTAAAAACTGATGAAGTAGCTATTTACATGGGTTGCTCCAAAAGTAATGCCTCCTATTTATTTCCATGGAAAATTCAACGGGAACCAAGAACACAGTAACACTATTTGATAGAGCAAATACTCAGCTAACAATTACTGTTTTTAAACACAGACACCACCACTAGCTGCGCATTTTCACCAAGATCCTGTATGCTGTGCTTGTAACAGTTTGCATCAGTGGAGGTAAACCACCGCCACTACTATTGAAACGCATCTCCTACAGCCTAAGTACATCCACTGTGTGGTCTCCATAAATGTTCAGCAAACATCAGTGGGTGTCAATGGGTGCCATTTTTTCCACGTAGATGGACTCAGTGACACACCTTTGCTTCATACACACTTCCATGTCAGACGCCAGTCTGTCAGACTGCCCCTACGCTGCCGTCTGCTGCACAGCAACAAAACATAATGGAATACTGATGGCAGGTTCTGCCTCTACTGCCATCCCACCAACATCCGCCTCTGACATCACGGGACAATATAAAAAAAAATAGGAAATATTTATTTTAGAGCAGACCCTGTATAATTATTAATGAAAACCTCCACTTAGGGATCTCTAAATGTGTCCTGACTGACATCATTCTCATCTGAGTTATGGTTTAGGTTTTTAGTGGTTTTGACCCTTCATTAAGTTAATGATGAAATCACACATTTCCTCAGATTTTAAATATCTTTGGATATCTTAATTCAAAACTAAGAAGTAACTGTAAAGCACTCAATAAATTTACACTGAACTTATTTGCTGAATCTCCGTGGTCTACAGCCAAAATTCTGTAGGCTAAGCAGGGTCTACATAGCAACACATCCAAGGAAACAACTCAGTATCTATTGTATGGGAACTGCTGAGTCAGGGCCTGAAGGTCTGATTGATCACCTGAGGCAAGCCATGAGTCAGCCAGAGGAGCACAGGTGAAGACAATTCACCTGCTCTGCCTGGCACCACCCCTCCTAGACCTATTTAAGAGCTGGCTACCAGTGGGGAAGGATCTCTTCTGGAGATCATCTCTGCTGCTGTTTTGTGAGTGAGCCCAGGATAGGGGTAAGCCTTCTATTTATTCTTTTCTTGCTATCATAGTCTGCTTTGCCTAACTCTCTTGTTTATTCTGTGATTATAACATCCTAATATTCTCTGATTATACATCTATCTTCTCCAAAGAAGCAATTGCTTTCTTCAGTGTCTGGCTATAAAAATCCCCATAGTTCTCTCTTGCTATTGGTATTTTGGTAATCTTGTGATTTAGATTCACTGATTTAATTTCTTTGGTAGCAAATATAGATACCTTTCAGAAGGTCCAGCCCATTCATTAGACAACATCTTGCTTCTCCAATAACTCTCATCAATAACAAACACACTTCATTAGCTTTCTGTCCTTCTGGACTCTATCCAACACATAAACAGATATACCGAGTAGTTTTGGCATGTCTGTACACAAAAGTCTCACCAGTTTAACTTAAATCAGTTTCCAAGCTGATTTAGGACTTCGATGAGATTTGGAAACTCCTGATATAGCCAATTAAGACATTATAAACTCCAACAGTCTTTTAGAAACTACTGCCACCATTCTGAGGTAAAGAAAAGGCAACACATATGTCTGTGTCTGACATTCCTTTTTCAGCCTTACACAGAAGACTGGCATTACATTGCCAGTAATGGTGATGTAGTGCTTCTAAGGTGGACTGTGGTCAGGTGTGGATATGTCCTGCCACATATCATTCTAAGGACAGAAGAGGACAGAAAAGAATGAGAAGAATGGGCTGAAGAAAGAGAGTGTCAACATCAACTATCAGAAATAGTTGCTCTTTGTCATTTCTTAGACAATCTATAATATAAAGCTTAAGAAAATTGCCATGAGACTTAAATTCAGTTCAGTTTTCTATTGCTTCCCTCTAACTGCAGCAAATCTACTGGGAGCAAGGACAAAAGCCTATCTGCAAACTGAAGGTTCTGGTAATGCTCATTCAGTTACACTCATTCAGCTCCTAACATAAAACCTTTACACTGCGTGTGTGCAGGCAATATGTTTAACTACTTGCTTTCTGTCTGAAGTGCACAACTCTATGGTATCTGAGCATAAACTTGTGCAAGACTAACACCTCATTCTAGTAAATAAAGACTGTACCATTTTAGCTGAAGGTGTTTCTAAATCAATATAGTTGTATCAGTGTAATTGTCTGTGAATTAACTTTTATTTTTTAAATTATTATTTCCCAGTTTAAATCCAAATTCCACAGAGAGTCTTCTTGCTTTCTCAGTAGCTCTGTCAGACATCCTGTGATCAAGGCAGTCCTAACTTCAGGTTGTTTGCCTGTCTGAATTAGGAGTACAACCCAGACCATTAAGCCTTCATGTATGCTTAGCCTACAGTAGCTGTAGCACAACTGAGTGTATTATCCTACCTACACAACATCACAGAGGCAAAAACGATATATCCCTGCTGATGACATTGTAGGAACCTTCTACCACAGGCAGCAACACCCCTGGAGGTGACAGAGTGAGTGATGTCCACATTCAGATCCCAATGAATCTGACAAGTCTGTTTCTCACACTGCAGTGAAAAAGCATTGAAAGGGCAGAACTGTCCAGGTTTGGGCCTTAGTTTCCTTATTGCCTTGAATCATTAAGTGTCCCTAGCAGTTATATCCTCTACACTTTGGAGGTAGCTTTTCCTATCAGAAAAAGTAATCTTTAAAATGCAATGTTTTCTCTATAAACACAATCTTCCTTATTCATGTATAATGTACAGTATACTCTGTAGCCTGAAGCAGTGATTGAGCACCTGGTGGGAAGGCATGGCCAACTCAGGTGCAAGCAATGCACCTGAGTGACCATAAGGGGTGGAGCCAGGATCCACCCCTCCCAACCCATTTAGGGCTTGGTGGGGAGGCAAAGGTATCTTGATGGAGATTCCTGCCTTCTGGAGGTTTTCCAAAGGGAAGCAGTTTTTTTTTCCCCCCCTTTGTTTCTGTGTCCACAGCTGCTGCGTTTTGGCTTGTTCACATTTCTGCAGCCTAGGATTGTGCCACCCCACTATTATTGCTGTACTTTCCATCATGTTATACAATATTCCATGATTTCTTTTTTTGCACTGAAGAGACTTGCACTGTAATTAGAACCCTCGGGCTACCGAGAAGTCCAAAACATTTCTAATGTGAACAGGAAGTCACCATGTGCGTTGCTGAATTCTTGGTTTTCTATTGACCAAACACCTCTTAAGGCACTGCAGAGGTTGCTTCCCAGGAGCAGACACCTGATCTTTATTGCATAAGGACAGCCACATTTTAGAATTACTAATTTGCTTCGTAATAGCTCAGGGAACCTCCTATTGTTTGTTTATTCTCCGAGTATTTACCGTAGTGGTGTGCTCAGAATTGGTTAGGAGGTGTGAAAATTCCTCAGAGGGCGTTTTACTGGCTCAGTGAGAACATTAAGAACAGAGGTGGCCTTTGAGTGCTGGGGCAGCGTGCCAGGACTGATGGCAGCTCCAGAGCTGCTCTCATGCTGCTGCAGGTTGACAAGACAGAAGTTGAAACCTTGCTTAGTGCAGAGCATCATACAATTAAAAAATACTTGAGGCCTTGCAAGAAAGAGGAGGACACTTTTTTTTTTAAATCAATTTATCTTTGCTGGTCCAAACAAGATTGTAATGTCATGCAGCACACTGCTCTATTTTTACCACTCATTAAATTTAACCCTCATTTCAAATCAATATACTCATTTCAGTAGTGCACAATGTCTTGCCCAGCTACTCTATGCTGCATTATGTGAAGTACCCTACATACCTATGGATTTCTTGCACATAGGCAATCTTCCTCAAAATATTTTTCTTTCTTTTTCCTGGTGCTGCCATTCATAAATGATTATCAGACTCAAGCATGAGCATCTCAAACACAGAATTTCAAATGAGATTAGTATAAATACATGTGCAGTTTTCTCCATGCTGATGAAGCTCTGGTTTCACTGAAACTAAAGAAATTTTTTGCCTTAGATTTCAATAGAACCAAATTATAAATTTATTTCAAGAATACTTCAAGAATATGCATTTCTTACAGGGAAAAAAAATTGTGCTGTTAAAGTTAGGAAAATTAAATAAAAACAAACTAAAACTGTTTCTGGGTTTTCTTACATCTGGAAACCCTGAACAGTTTTGTTTGGACGGAAGCAGATAGAAAAATTGCAGATCACAATCCTGGCTACTCCTATTATTTAAAATATCTCACTTTAAAGTTTTTTATAAACAACTGCATATTCAGTGAATCTGTACTTTGTTTTACTACAAAGTCTATTTGGGGTCAATAATAACTAAATCACACAATTGCTAATTGCACATCATAATAATCAGTTATTTACCATACATATCTCATTTACATGGCATTCAGGAGACGGGGGTCTAAATACAGATAGGAACAGAGTAAAGACAGTGCTTGGTATTGGTGCTATGTAACTCTATAAAGCAGTGCAAATAAACTGTTTTATCATTGTGGGAAGTATTCTGAAGTTTATAGGCAACCTGAAAAGCTCTTGTTAAAATGCCACATAGAAGAACTCATATGTACATAATGAATTTACTGCAGACAATGTGGAATAACATAAACTGAGCAACAGATAAGAGCTTTAATCATTACTTTTATATTTATGTTAAATTTTCCTTAATTTATTCCAGCTTACTATAACACTTCTACTTTCATCATTTTCTAACCCTCTTTGTCTCCATTTTAAACATCAGAAATAAAACACAGATCTTGAAGCTAATTAAAAATCTATTTTAGTCCACTCTAAAACACGTCAAGTCCAAGCACAACTAATTATTTTGCTTGAGAACTGAGTAATGTACAACCATACAACTCCAGCAGGGAAGCTCATCAGGCTGAGAGGTAAATGAAATAATTTCAAATTTAAGGGTCTCAGAAAATTTTAAATCTGCTGTGATCGTAGGTATGCAGAACCACAATAACCACTACTAGAAAAATGTTACAATAATGAAAATAGGGAAAAGAATCCACCTACACAGAAGGTGTCAAAAAAACATGGGGTTCCAAATTGTAAATCTGTCAAGACCCATAAGAATTTACAATGTGCAGTACCATTACTTGGTTTCTAATCTCAAATTGCCTGCCACAGCTAAAGGCAGAAGGTAAAGAAGGGAAAATAATCTATTAAAGCAATAGGGAGGAACAAGAAGAAGCTGTGTATCTGCTTTTCTACGTGAAAAATTTAGAAAATTAGATGTGGCCTTTTAGACTTCAAAGGAGGTATGTGACTCTGAAACGGAATACTCTGATCAGGCCTTAAATTCACAAAAATTAACTTTGCAGATGTATTTGTTCCAGTACTTGTCTCAAACAAACATGAGATCTGAAAGCCCTGCCATAATGCCTCAACTTGGAATTTCCCCATTTCTCTCATCTTACCCTGTTTTGCTTCAGAAGAAAAGATATGCAGCCCTGAATGTATTATGACTGTAGATCTGTGTACAGAAAGACCATGTGGATTTCATATGGATTTGTCTTGAGCTTGACTCCCATTTGAAGTCTTTGAAATCTATTACCGGCTGAAATCACACCTCAGCCTTACCTACAGTAAAGGCAGTAACAGGGACTCTTTAACCCCCCAGCTGTTTTCATGAAGCTTATAAGGACTTCATATTGCTGACAATGAATGTTATTACTTCCTTGGGAGAACACAGTGTAAAACAAGTGGTAAGGTTGGAAACCAGGAATGGCACAGAAGAGGAAAATGAAAAGTAATAGTTCTATATTTTTTTACTATGACATTCTTACATGCAAAATGTGGAACTTTTAAAGTAATACTGCACGAAAAGAGTATAAAATTCTCATATAAAATTAAAATAGTAGCAGTCTTCAAGACCTGTTGTTATTGGGATAGGAATAAATAAACACAGATAACTTTGAATATTAAAATCATGACTTTCTCAAGAAATTATTGGTGATAATGCTGTTAGAATTTTAAAACTAAGTTGGTCACACTTTAGAAGCACTCAATATATATTGAACATATGGGTATATCCACTATATTTTGATTGTGTAATGTGAACATCTTGTTACTTTTTTAAAGTACAATGAAACATTCCAGTTAAGTCAGCCAAGTTTTAGCTAAAAATGGCTGTACATTCAGTAAAAACACTTCATTTTACACTACTGATTTGTAGGAGAAACTGTTTCAATTTGAGACATTAATATTTCAGAAGACATCTTTCAAAAATCACCACTGTTGAGGTCTGGACAGACCACTAGGCAGTAGCCCATAAAATAATGTAACAATGTTTGACAATTGATGCAATTATAATTTCTTGTACATTGATCACTGATCCGTTACACTAATTTCAGCTTTAACTAAAATTTCACCAAGTGATAGCAGTCCCATCTACTACCTTTTTAACTGTACTAAAACAGGACCCTGAACCATTTTGACAAACCACAGTGGGAAATTTCTGAGAGTTTTCTTAATGCATTCTTTATTCATAAATACTGCTTTTCCATCTCTTCATTTCCCCTCCAGTTGATTAAAATGATGGGGGTTTTTAGATGCGATGGTGCCAAGAAGCACACAAAAGAGTGCAAAATGCATGACTGGGAAGTAATGTAGTCATGTATCTTCTGAAAAGCACTTACAACATGGATATATGTCTACAAGCTATATGCATGTGGAGATAATTAGTTGCTTTGTAACTGTGCTGAAAGCCTGTAATAACACATCTCCTCTTTCACTTATTCACGAGATTTCAGAAATCAGATAATACATGACTTTCTATAAGAACTTAATTTTATATATGTGAGCGTTTCAAACTGTATTTTTTTCTTACCTGTAGCAGAGCTGCAAACAAATATACTGCTATGAAGATTGGAGTTAAGGAAGTGTGGCCACTTTTCATTAAATGAATAGTGTACAAGAAAATTAGATGACCAGGAATCACCAGAAGAAGCAGGACTTGGGCTGATTTGTTATTTACTCCTACAATTATTTAAAAACAAACAAACAAAAAAAACCAAAATTCAGTTAAGATTTTCAATTTCTATACCATATTCTTTGCCCGCAGTTTGGATGGGTGTACACTCTGCTGGGTGAAACACTGGCTGGAGTTGTGGTCAGCAGAGATAAATCCAGTTGGTCACAAGCAGTGTCCCCCAGGGCTCGGTACTGGGGCTGCTTCTGTTTAGCATTTTATTAATGATCTTGACAAGAGGATAGAGTGCACTCTCAGTGAGTTTGCAGATGACACCAAGTCGGGAGGGAGTGTTGGTCTGCCAGAGGGTAGAAAGGCATTACAGAGGGACCTGGATAGACTGGATCTATGGGCCAAGGTAAACTGTATGAGTTTCAATAAGGCCAAGTGTCGGGTCCTGCATTTTGGTCACAACAACCCCAGGTAACCCTGTGAGCGTGGGGAGGAGTGGCTGGAAAGCTGCCTGATGGAAAGGGACCTTGGTGTACTGATGGACAGTCAGCTGAATATGAGCCAGCAAAGTGCCCAGGTGGCCAAGAAGGCCAATGGCATCCTGATGTGGTGAGCAGGACTAGGGAAGAAATCTTGCCCCTGTACTTGGTATTGGTGAGACCTCACCTCGAGTACTGTGTTCAGTTTTGGGCATCTCAGCTCAGAAAGGACATTGAGGTGCTGGGGCGGGTCCAAAGAAGGGAAACAAGGCTTGTGAAGGGCTTGGAGAATATGCCCTATAAAGAGGCATATGCCCTATGAAGGATCTGGGGCTGTTTAGTATGGGGAAAAGGAGGGTGAGGGGAGACCTTATTGATCTCTTGCAATACCTGAAAGATGTTTACAGCAGAGATGGGTTGGTCTCTTCTCACTGGTGACAGGTGACAGGATGAGGGGAAATGACCTTAAGTTGCATCAGGGTAAGTTTAGGTTGGCTATCAGGAAACACTTCTTTATAGAAAGGGTTGTTAAGCACTGCAATAGGCTCCCCAGGGAGGTGATTGAGTCACCATCCCTGGATGTGTTTAAAAACCGTTTGGATGTGGTGCTCAGGGACATGATTTAGTGGAGGGTTGTTAGAGTTAGGTAGTATGGTTAGGTTGTGGTTGGATTTGATAATCTTTATGGTCTTTTCCAACCTGAATGATTCTATGATTCTTACTGATTTTAACGTGAGAAGAAATTTTGGCATTCCACAGCATTGGCTATTGTGGAACAGCATGCATTATTTTCAACTAAAACAATCCTTGAAGTTTTCCACACTGGGGAGGGGGGAGGAGGAGGGGATGTCATCCCTAATGTATGCTAGCAAAGTCAAGCAAAGCTCTTCCAGAAGAAGGGGCAAGCTGTGTGTATTTCATCCATTTGTGTTCTGTACTTAAGTAATATTGTCTAGTTTTTTGGAGCTCCAGTGGCCTCCTAGAGCCTTCCTAGGAAACAGGACGTTTTGGATACCATATTCAAGCCATCTTCAAAAGTATCTCATACGTCTAAAAATTCCACACTATTTTCACATCTGTCCCAATGCATTTCATAAATATTACATTGTAATACATGCAATTAAATGTCAAATTTCTCTACAGTTACTACATTATTAGGAAAGGGGGAAGTACAGGGAAGAAACGAGTTGCAAAGAAAGCATGTGGAAAGAAAATGGCATGTGAGGAATGAAAACAGACTAGGTTAGTAATGATGCTACAAAAAAAATTTGATCTGAAGACTGATTTAAACTCTGGAGTTAAATGACAAAGGCTGGAAGGGAAACAAGAAAAGATAAAAATTTTTCTAAGTGGGTATCATCAGTGTCCTGCCTGATTGATCTCTGTCTTTGACTCCAGCCAGGGTTACACTTTTCTCCCTGATACTCTCTATGCATCAAACTCCTGCAAGCTGTTGCTTGTGGTTCTTATGTGTAAATAGCTGCAGGCAATGGAAACTGCCAGACCTTTGCTGCTTCTGAATTGCATTTGAATCTCTCGCTGGGGTTACAGTCATACAGGGAGAAAAAGAGGAAATATAAGACACTAGTTTTAACAATAAGGTGATTAATACGTACCTGTACCGTAATAGGTTCTGCATGGATAATAGCAACCCTTGGCTTCTTCAGGCAGCTCTCCAGGAATGCTATGCAAATGGAGGTAGGTAGAAATTCTGCTAGCTTGAATAGCTACTAGATTACCACCAATACCTGAAAAACAAAATATTGGTATAAAAACTGGTACATTTTCAACTTTTTTTTTCCATTAGTAAGTAAAATTTGTAAAAACTCCCAACCTCCTCTCTGTTTACCACAGTCCCCTAAACATGAAAGTCAAAAAAGCGAAACATCTTCAGAATATGTGTGCTACAGACAGGCTGCCACCAATCTCTAATGTAGTCAAACTTGGGTTACAATTTACTGTATCACTGAAAATTTTGTTATCTGAAATATTCCAATTGGAAATTTGGAAATATTATGATGAGTTTTTATTTGGAGTAAATGCAAAAAATTCCTCCAACGCATCCAACCTGCTACTTTTGCATAGGTGAAGCTCCATTGTATGGCTCCTTGTTATTTGGCAATCCCCCTTGGAAAAACAGAAGTACTACACAGCCATGCCACTGCTGGATGACTTTCCTAGGTTGATACTGCTAACATGTATAAATAATGCAGAGTTGATGCACTCACTACCACAAATGCAGACTTCACACACATAGGGACAAAAAGGAATTCAAGAGATAATTTATCCACTCCCCTTTGCCATAGGTCTTCTCTGTGACAGCTGTTGATATGCTTTCCATTAGGAGAGAAAAGGCTGCTGTGGAACAAATTTCATCTCAATGAAATGAAAATTAAACCAACTTGATATAGCTATGTTACAGAGTGGAGTGGCACTAGCATAAAACTCTACACTCACTATTACACTTGAAAGTTGCCTGCTTGCATATCAAACATATGCCTTTTTTTTTTTTTCCCCCCATATGCTTTATAGATCTGAGAAGATATGATTAGGTAGAAGTCATGCATATCTTGTCCCTGCTTAAGCAGGAGAAAGCCCTTGGTTATTGTAGTTGAACTAATTTGTATATCTGAATCTTGGGGCTTTGGTCTGTCATCACCAGAAGAACTTATCTACCAAATCTCTTTGGGGACAATAATGTGTTTAGGACAAAGACCTGATACTAAGAACCTAATGAAAATTTTCTGCCTCACTGCATCTTAAAGATGACTTTTGGTAGAATCTAACAAAGGAGTAAAACTTCTAAACAAAAGGCTTCAAATAAAAATAGGGAAATAAGGAATTAGAAAGAAGTCACAGAGTTTGCAGAAAGGACAGTTTACCAAACCTACCTGCCTCTTTCCAGCCAGGAGATACAGGGAAAAAATGTGAACTATGAAAATGTTTATTCAGCCTTTGCAAAGAAAATTAGAAACAGATATTTTTTTCAGCAAACTACAGAAACTGAGGTAAATTAAGGGATGTATATAAACTATAAAGGGGATTTGAACAAGATAAAAAATTATCTAAGTAGAGCCCCAAATCTATCTTTTGAGTAAGAACAATTATTCTGATACTTCTGACTAATGAGAATAAGGTGAGGAAAGGGAGACAGAAGTTAAATGAAGGATCAGTGCACTGCATTTGGATGGAGATCAGATAATTTCTGTGACTGAACTACAGAAAAAACTGTCATGTAAAAGTGCATTTAAATAAAGCTACAAAGCTCAGGATGATGCTGTATGATGAGAAAATAAGAAAGCTTCTGCTTTAAAAAGAGGGGATAAAAGCTATCAAGGTAATTGCAGGCAGGCTAGAAATTGCAACAACTTATATATTCAATTAGATATCTCTTCTCTGGCTATCCCTATCTTTTAAAGCATTGTAAGAAGAAATAAAAGATAAAAGAAAATAGAGCTATCTTCCAAGGTATGTTTTGAGGCTTGTAGCAATGAAACCATATATGATGTTGGCAAAAAAAAACTGACTTCAAGTATTTCCAAGGATGTAGGCAATTTCCTCTTGTGACTGATAATCATCTGCTGTAACAAATTCAGACAAACAGAAATATGATGGATTATCTGGACATCTTTCCCTCATTAACAACAGAAGAAACTGAGAGAAAACAATCAAGGAAAATGGAAATTCAACCATTTGAAATAATAACATATCTGGCTAAGCAACAGAGATGTAGACTAATGCAGAAGAGAAAGTATGAGATTGGCTGTCAAATGTTTGATGAATAGCAATTCATCCGAAATAGTTTTATAACAATAATTTAGCAAAAGCAATTCCCAAACCCTATTGGGTATGTAGATTTCAGATCACTTAAGGTCTGAGTCTCAATAATCTAACATCATTAAACTCAGAGAACCTCACAGGATACACCACTGATAGCTCTCAAATAACCTTATGTGCTTTATGCAGGTGCAATATAAAAAACTTTCAGAATCCATAGGTCCTGCTCAGTCTCAACCCACTAACAGTATGTGATGATGGACAGCAGCAGTCATACTATCCTTTAATTCTACCCAACCACTCTTCTTCCTAACTATTAGTGAACATCTGGGCCAATTTCAACCACATCTGACAAAAGGCTTTCTGTAAATAACAGCTGTCTCCAAGTACAAAGGCTAACCAAAATGAAAGCATGGCTAATCCTGGGTAAATAAAGATTCAAATCCATGTCCTAAGTGAGTCAAGGTAGTAATACAAGCTGTATATTTCTCAGCATAGGTGTGCCAGCTGCACAGTCAGCACACAGCTTGGAGCGAGGCACGATGCCTCTTGTTCAGCTGGTAGTTAAATGACACAGAAGATGAATGATGGTGTCAAAAGCAAAGGGAGAACAGAGAGTGTTGTGAGAAATAGGTATTGCAAGGACATGAGGCTGCAGAACACTGTGGTTAGAAAGGTGCTCTAAAAGCACAGGATATAAATCAACACGGAATAAGGTTTCATTATTCTGCTGGTCAAAAAATGACTTAAATAAAGCTGTGCTTGCATTAAATGAATCACTTCACTATATACAGAGATATTCAGGGCTTTTTCCTTGTACAGCAGTTACTGTGCATGTGAAATTATCAATATTAGATTAATATCAGATTAATCAGATCCCTACAAGAAGCAAAAAAACCCAGATAAAACTGTGTAGGTTGACAAAATGTCAATACACACAATTGATAGCTTCTGAGCATCTTCTGAACGCATAAAACTGTAATATACACAGTAGCTGCTCATGTTATGAAAATCTTTTCAGGCATACCTATAGACTGTTTCCAAGAATATTTAATTGAGAAAATTTGTTTTCTGGAAAATAGTATTGTAATCATCATAGCACATAATTCATAACAAAGACTAACTTCCTTAGCTTCTTTTCATTCTCATGAGAGAGAATATCACAGAGGAAAATAATTGCTTTGAAACGTAAAATCCTGCATCTGCATTCAGGATAGCTGGTGTGTTTAGCTTGAATACAAGGTGCTGCTTTGTACTTCCCCTAAGAATAGACATTGTCTGCTAAAGTGTGAAGGTTGTCATGCTGACTTACAACATTAAAAGAAAATTGAAGACCTCATCGTTTTATTGAGTCAGTCAAGGGCTAAGCGAGAATAAATTCTTCTGAATTCAGTTTTTTCACAGTTCTTTTTTCGTATAACAAGCACACAAAACCGTATTTAAAGTAGAGCCAAAACCACGTCACGAATTTGTGAATATGCCTCTGGACACGATTCTACTAATCATTATGTGGAAAAAGGCCTGCCTAATAGGACATTAAAATCAATGGATCTTAAAGAGTATTTCAAAGAAGATCTGTTTCTCTTTACCCACTTTAGTGCTCTACAGGTAAAAAAAGATAAGTTGAAGGAAGCAGGATGAATTTTGCTGATGCATCCTAATCTCAGATCATCTAATGTTCTAAGTAATACACCAGGCTGTTGGTTTGTTTGTTGTTGTTTTTTCCACATGCCTTATACTTCATACTTTGGGTAACATTGGGAAAACTAGGAAGAGTGGCTGATACATCAGAAGTCAGTGCTGCCATTCAGAGGAACTTGGACAAGCTGGAGAATTGGGCTGATAGGAAGTTCAACAAGGGGATATGCAAAGTCCTGCAATCTGGGGATGATCAAGCCCATATACCAGAACAGGCTGAGAGTCAACTATCTGGAAAGCAGCTGTGCAGAGAAAGACCTGGGTACTGGAGGGCAAGAAGTCAACCGTGACCCAGCAGTGCACCTTGATGGCAAAGGCAGACAATGGTATTCCAACCTGCTTTAGGAACAGCATCGTCATCAGGTGGAAGGAAGTGACGTTTCCCCTTAGCACTGGCGAGTGCTGGGACTCATAGGCCCATTTTTAAGAGAAGCCCAAAAGACAACCTTACCCATGCAAACCATAACATTTTAAAACTGAATTCAGCTCATAAATAATTTCTTTCCTATGCATAATTTTTAAAGCGTTCCTTGACCGTCAAAAAATGAAAATATTCTGGATCTAATTGTGATGTGGGAATTAATCACTACTGAAATCTTGTAAAAAATGTATAATACTTAATCGTTAAGTATTATATGTAAATGTAAAAATACTTAGAAGAAAGAACTCACATCTATTACAGCATAGGTTGTGAAGACTTGCTTGTACAGACTAGCAACTAAAAAGGAGTAGAACTGTCACCTAGTAACGAATGAGAATTAAATATGCAGAATCAAAATCCTCCTTTTTCATACCAAAATAAGGACTGAACTATTAAGTTCTCATTCAGCATAGGTGTGTTGTAAGACTCTTACATGCTTTCCAATTCAAGGTAAAAGCTACTGTGCTACTCAGCCAATTTGCTCTAATACCATAAAGGTATGTTAATATCTTTGTAATTTGCAGAGGAAATTTTCAGAAACTCAACTAAGACAATGATTGGCTTCTACTCAAAGTATTTCTTTGTTGCATGAAAGCTGAGAGTACAACCATCTTATAACAGAGCAAAATACATAAAGTAACTAAAAAAACACATTTTACTTTTTGAGGAGGAGTGATTTCTGTGTTCTCTTTCCACATTCTCATAACTTAAAGGAAAAGATTTCTGAACAGCCTGAAACTCATTCAATTTTCCTACTAATTGTACAATTAAAAAAAGGTATAATTTGGGGAATATATTACATAAGCTTAACTTTCATCTCCAAGCTAACTGACACTCAATAAGTTTTGTGTAAAATTTTCTCATACATGCTTTTAATATTCCTTGCTCTACATTCATTTCCTCCCCATATCAAATGCTCTTGTAATTTGTGCAGCCAAAGAGCAGGAAATATTATAAGCGGTTGGTGTTACCCTTAAAGAGTCTTGTTTCAAACCATATGTAAATGCAAGTTTTTCTATCTGAAGCCTACAAAGTGGTTCTGATTTTCAGGCATATTTGGAATTAATTTGCAGAACCTCCTTTCTACAAAATGCATAAAAATGGAGTGACATCTACTGAAATGTTGGTTGTTATGCAGTAACTCTCATAATGTTTTGTACAAGCATAGAAGGAATATGAAAAAGGAAGTGGCTTTATCTAGTAACTGCACCTTAGTTCATTTCTTCTGATTATTCTGAAGCATGTAATTGTTTAAAGTGCTATCTTTTTCCTGCAAAAAAAGGAACTCAGTTACTTGCAAATTGCAGTTCCTGAGCCAAATTTGACATACTGTGATGCTGTGAGAAGATTTGCAAATTTTAACCTTCTCATCCATTGGAAAACATAAAGATCAACTTTTGGTATCTTCTGGTAGTTATGTTCTTCATAACTTCAGTACATCAAACGCATATCTACGCCTCAACTAGACTGCAAGTATCATGATGACTAAAACCACAAAATGATTTATTTATTCCCAGAAAGCAGAGTTACAATTTAACCCAGCCAACTACAGATTTAAAAATAATTATTCATCTAAAGAAATGTGTTTAACAAGGGAAAAATGGAAAAATGGTTGTAAAATACTTCTGCCCAGCAGCAGTAAAGTTCACTATAAAATGTCTGTCTGCTTAAGAACTATTTAATATTCTTGGCAAATATTTGTAGTTATTGTTAATAGGAGTAGGAGCCTTTGAGGTTGTTCAAATTCCAGACCAATATTTCTTAAACCAAAAGATACATGGTTCCAAATCATACGTGATGAAAGTGACTTGTCCCACATCTAAGAATACGCAAACCACTTAACAGGACCACGTCAAAAGTCATTCAGTGGCACACGCAGGAAGTCTAACACCTGCAGTGCAGGCCATACTGTCCAGGACTTCAAGACACCCAACAACTGGCACTGAAAATACCAGTGACAGTTTGAGATCACCAGTAAATTTATATTGTCCTCAAATTTTGGTCGGCATAATCCCAATAGATTAAAATTTTCCCTTCAGGTTTCCCTATGAGATAGGAGCAACAATCTCTAAAGGAGAAGGAAAAATGTACCTCAAAAGCTTTTTGAGAGGGAAACCCTTTGGCAGCTTTCACTGTTTATGCTTACAACAAGAATTCCAAGGACAGGAAAGCGCTCATAGAGAAAGCTTTCAGCAACAGTAATATTTTAAAAGCCGTCTATTAAGTGGCCTAGCCCACCTTTTAGGTTAGTAAATGAGTGTCAATGGATGTGCTTTTTTAACTGTAAGGTTAGGTTTCTGTTGTTACAGTCTGAGATGATAGCAAAGAACCTCAAATATATGGACACAAGACAACGAACAACTAGCTGATGGTCCAGACATTACTACTTACTGAAGACATTCAAACCTTGAGAACTGGGAAAAGACAGCTTTACTCGTAACAAGTGTGAAAAACCCAAATGAGCCATGGCACCTCTTATGGCCTGGAAAACAACATTCTCAGGCATTGCACAGTAGTCCAGGAGTGCAAATGTCAAAGGCTGAGCAGCCTTGAAACACAAGATATCCATAAAAATTCAGCATTTAGAATAGGAGTGGTGCAGTAACCACAGGAATCAGCAGAGAACCACTGTGGAACTGCTACAGCTACAAGTCTACTGCAGTAGCCCCAGCTTTCCCTCTTTCCACCTGCCTAATACTTCAAGAATCTTTTGACCAGCCAGCTAATCATGCAGAACAATGTATAGCATTTGGCTAGTTCATTTTCTCTCAAAGCAGTTCAAAAGAATGTATGTACTATTGCCTTAATTCCATTTAGTAACTTATGAAAGAAAATAAGAAATAAAACGGGGCATTTAACATTTTCTCTAGAGGTATGTTTATAGCAAGCTGTCACTCCTAGCAGTTAAAATTATTTAAGTCTAATCATTAGCTAAAAATTGTAAATAGGTAAAATATAAACATGCAGGCAACTCAGGTTTCACAGCTAATTTCTGTGAAAGAAGCCAACCTTGAACAGGATGCAGAGTTCCACGTACAACAGCAGTCCATAACTGCTGTAAGGTGAAAGAACATCATCACTGCAACATTTGGAAGGAGCATGAGGCCTTGAGAAAGGCCTGAGCCCTTGAGATCTGTGTGTGCTGCAGGCAGCAAGACTAGAACAAGCAAGTCTATGGAGGAAATCCAGAACTATTCTGGTACTGTACTGCAGCACAGATAGAAGTCTGATGGAAAACAGTACAAAACAATTGCTAGACAGTTGTTTGCATTTGTAATCGATGCATATCATCTAAGAAAGCAGGACCACTGGTAAGAGCTTTGGGTGCACCTGACTAACAAGAAAACAGGATCCTCTTCTATATGAAAGTTAATCTAGGGAGTAACCAAAGAGGACTATTATGAGAAAACTTTCAGATGTAAAGCTGTAAAACAAAGTAAAGAAAGTAAAAGCTGAAGGTCATCATAGTTGCTCTGCTCTTTAGATATCTGGAAAGCAAAACGAAACAAAATAAAAGTAGATGCAAATGCTTCTAATTTTAAATGAATATAAAGGACAGGCACAGGCAAGGAGCATAAAGACTGAAGAGTAAAAAATCAATTTACAGTCAGCAAAGAACAAAAGTTACAATAATGAAATGCTTCATATTTAATAAAGAAAAAAAAGAAAAAAGGAAATATAGGACTGTAATGGGAAGGAAGAACAAGCAACCTGCTTTATGGAACATAGAAATACATGATTCCTTTTGTATCCTGTCTTTGTAAAAAATGGAGATGCCTGATCACAAACTTGTTCATATTAAGTCTGTAGTGCCTGAGGATAAATTCAATTTAAGTTTAGAGTGTCCTTAGAGAGCCAGATGAACAATCCATGAATTATCAGGGATCATTTTTGGAAACTGATTATCTTGGAGGTTAGCAAATATCAGAGAGCTGTAATAGGGAAAACAGAAACTGTATCTCTAAGGACCAAAAAAATATCACCTGGGGAATCTGCATGTCACTGGAATTTATTCCTAGACAAGTACTGGAACAAATTATTAAACAGACAATTTGTAAGTGTTGAGAAGACATAAAAGTGGTAAAACAAGAGCTAACTTGAATTTGCAAAAAACTTGCTTCCATCAAAGTAACACAATTTCCTCCTTTAACAAAACAGCTTGTCTAATGGGCACAGAAACAGATAAACTAATTCTTGACCGTAATAAAGGTTAGCAAGATGTTTTGATGCTACCCCATGCCACATTTACATTAGCAACCTCTGGCAATTAGTTATACAATGGGCAATGTGTTTCAAAATATTAGTCATCATTAATATTAACACTCTATTATCAAAGATGGTGAGCAAAATTAGTGATTATAATTTATTTGATACCTCAGAAAAAAGTGCCCCTAGAGAATTTGCAAGGCCAAGTTACGATAAGTCAAAGCACTCTGTAAGCCAAAATCAGAAGTCGGAAACATCTTGATAACTGGAGAAATGGTTTTAAAAATAGCAATGCTTTAAAGTGCAAAATAATGTACAAAATCAAAGAAAGAAATACAAAAGAGGATAAGAAGAGCCAGGCAGCAGTATAGTGGAAATATATCTGGTTATTATAATTACTGCAAGCTAATTACATATCAATCATATGATGTTGATGTAAAAACATTTGAAAAACATGCATTTTCACAAAACATTCAGACTAAGTCTAATAAGATATGAGATATTCATACAAAATTTGGCTTGATGTTAACATTACATATTAAAATTCTAATTCATGGAGTAAATTATCGTCAACACATTCTCACAACTGGAAAGTGCACCACAAAACAGGAACCAATACAAATACTTCTTTACAAATCTATTTATTTGCCTGTAGTATCTGTGTTAGTTCTTACACTTACATATGTTGCAAGTAAATATTAAAATACTCTTTCGAAAATTTGCTCCTGGATGTCCAAAAGGAAATCCTTTGAAATAAAATTTTATTTACGTTTTCCTCATCAAAACAGTTTCAATATTCTATTTGTTAATACCTGTATATACCTCTACTTCCATTTTCATAGTTTCTTAATGCATGCTTTAGGTTTCTGTTTCTCACATTTAATACTTTAATAGTTGTAAACAGGATCAAGAAGCTCTCCTTGGGAGTTCAAATTAACAATTGTTGACATCAAAATCAAGACTTGCAATGAATATAGCAGATCCTAATTTGCATAAAAAACATTTACTGTAACAGACTTTTATCAAATGAAGGTGCATCAATTGCTATATTGAATTATACAATCCTGCCATGGTCTTACCATTGATTACCGGGGTATAAACAACAATTCCAACCAAGTTTGGATCAGATACAGTTGTGTCCAGAATAAGGCCACCAATACTGAAAGACAAAGTACAATATTTAGGATAAGGCAAACAGACACATTAGTCATTATTACAAAACTGTTTTAGTAATCTCATCCTTGTAATATCACAATTTTCTTCTCAGTTTATCTTACTAACCTTTTTTACTTGTCAACCTCATTAACTTGCTACAGTTACTGGCTTAAATATTACAACTGGTTGTATAACAAAGACAACAGAATTTCATGCAATCACTCATCTTTTAAGATTCATAGCTTTCATTTGACTAAATCACAGTGTTGCTAAAAAGTTGCAGGAGATGAATAGTTTGAGTAGTTCACCATTTCCTTCATTAGATATGACACACTGCTGCTGAACCATTTCCACAGTGTATTGTTACCTTCTCCATTCATTCTAAACCATGACTTAACTATGTAACTTCCTAATTTTTGGAAGATTAGCCTCCATATTCTAGACGCTCCTTAAATGTTTCTTTTAAGCAAAGTTAAATTAGATATATGGAGACAGAGGAGAGCCAAGGCAAACCACAACAGACTCACCTGCTTATAATCATGGCAGTTATAACAGGCTCCCATCCTGAATGGAGAACAGTTCTAGTAGCTGGGTGTTTGGCAGCTATGACAATCCCCATAGGAGTCAGAGCCAAAAAAAAGGCACCAACCAAAGGAGATATATAGTAATATGTTTCTGAAAAATAATACAGAAAAGTAAGTGTTTTGCTCTCCAGACATAATATACGTTGTATTCTACATCAAGCAGTTGAGAAATTTTAATAGTCTTTATCACTACTGTTTTCACTATGCTGTCCACTACTGCATCAAACAATATGGTTGGTATAACATCTACCGTATGTGATCACCTTCATCCATCCCATCAAGGACAAAACTATCTGTGCAAAGTAGGAACCTTTGAAGAATGTTTTTGTTTGATGCTTAATGATAAAAATGCAATAAAGATGTGGAATATAAAACATTATTTTGTTACACATCTATTAAAAAAAAAAAAAGGAACTGAACATGTTGAAAATATGTATTTTTTAATATACAAATTCAGAGCATATGTAAATCTCCTTCTTGCCAAAGCACAGATAATATGCTAACCTTCCCCAACACAGAACATCTAAAATGATGCAAGCACCTGGTATAATATTGAAACATTCTTATTAGTAGTTCAGTTGCTTTATAATCTGTCTGCAAGACTGGAAATCCACACCCATAATTCCACTGCCTGCACCCATCCATCAGAACAGCATCATATTTCATAGAAACACAAATACAAATGCCATTAACTGAGTACCATCATAAAACAGAACTAATAATGCAGAGAGCTGTCTCCACAGAAAGAGTAATAAATTTTTCGGCTTAGTTCAGTCTTAGAGTCCCCTCCACTCAGAAGCCATCACAGTGATCCAGAAATTCCTAATTCAACAGTGTGGTAAGCAACAGAAAATGTATTCTCATGGCAAATATATACGCAGCTCATAAAAACACCTCATTTTTGCATATATTATTTTTATGAGAAATGTGGCAATGTATTTAATGTTAAACACATTTCATCTGAATTTTCAGAATTTGGACAACTCAGTGCAAAATACAGTTTAAATTAACAGGCTGAAGTAGTTCTATTTTTTTTTTTTTTTAAAGTAGTATTGAGCCCCCAGTACAAGAAAGACAGGGAGCTGTTGAAGAGGGTCCAGAGGAGGGCCACAAGGGTGATCAGGGGACTGGAGCATCTGCCCTACGAAGACAGGTTGAGGGAGCTGGGCTTGTTCAGCCTGGAGAAAAGAAGGCTGCGGGGTGACCTCATTGCAGCCTTTCAGTACCTAAAGGGAGCCTTAAACAGGAGGGGAATCAACTCTTTGAAAGGGTAGATAACAGCAGGAAAGGGGGAAATGGTTTTAAGTTGAGGGAGGGAAGATTTAGGTTGGATGTCAGGGGGAAGTTCTTTCCTATGAGAGTGAGGTGCTGGCACAGGCTGCCCAGAGAGGCTGTGGATGCCCCATCCCTGGAGGTGTTCAAGGCCAGGTTGGATGGGACCCTGGGCTGCTTGGTCAGGAATTAAATGGGGAGGTTGGTGGCCCTGCCTGTGGCAGGGGGTTGGAGATTCATTATTCTTGAGGCCCCTTCCAACCCGGGCCATTCTGTGATTCTGAGATGTAGAACACATAAACTCTTCAACAAAGACAAATACCCAGTATATATAAAAATATTCCCACCCAGGCATTATGACTTATTACAAAGCTTGCAAATTCAAGCAATTACTACTTTGATGTTATCATGGTGGAGGGAGGGATAACAGCTAAAATTACTCCTTAAGAATCATTCCAGTATTTTTAGATGTTACTGTCCTTCTGCATTGACTGGTAACAACCTCTGCAGCAGAGCTGGCACAAGGGACTAAGATTCCTATCACAGTGTAAGCTAAAAGTAGAAAGCTATCAGAATGAGAAAGAGACAAAGTCCAAAAGAGAAGTAATTTTTCCATTCCTTTTCTAGCTATTTTACAATATATTATATCCTTCCTTCGTAGTGCCTTTTTTCAGTCTTTTCTATCTATAAGCAAAGAGATGGGCCTAATGTAAAAAAGTCTAACTCAAAAGAACATATACATGATACTTTTGTTCTGTCAAACAATAAAAAAGAAGAAAAAAAATATTGATAGAAAGTTCTTGAACTTTTTGTCATGTGGACCGCTGCTTACTGCACAGCTAAATGCATTTAGCAGAGGGTTGTTAGAGTTAGGGTAGTATGGTTGTGTTGCGATTGGACTTGATGATCTTTAAGGTCTTTTCCAACCTGAGCAATTCTATGATTCTATGATTCTTCCCTCCACTTGCAGCAAAGAAAGATCCCTGTGTATACTACAGTTGGTCACATGGAAAGGCATCATTTATTTTATACCTATTTTCTTAAACCTTTGGTACTTCCCTCTTTTTCTCCTTTTAAGAGACGTTATGTTCCTTTTACTTATTCATTTTCTCCCTCTATGTCTGTTCTCCTCATATGCACCCAAGTTGAGGCACTCACATACACCAGAGCCACAATAACTGAAAGGTCAGAATGAGAAAACAGTTCAAAGATCCTCTGTTGCAAAACAAACAAACAAAAAACACTTAGCAGCAGAATAGAGATGCAGTGTTGAGCTTTATCCTAATTATTCACCAGTTTTTAAAGATCTCTCACTTGCACACTTGCCCATTTACTTTTATGACAGGATTTTTACTAACATAGGAAATTAAAGTTCACAAAGCATGGCATTAACAATGTAAAGAACTTGTTAAAACATGTTTGTGAGAAAAGGGAGAATATTTAACTATCAACATCAGTCTCTAAGCCTTGAGAGCTTGTTCAAGAATTACTAAGAACACTAAAAATAAGCATTCTTCTAGTCAACTATGTTGTGTAACTCCTTCTTCTGGGAAATAAAAAGAAAAAAAAAGCACAAAGATAAAAGAGAAACCATTCCAGCAAATGTACAATGATTAGTAACCAAGAGCTACTTAATAAGCAGCTTTTAATAAATTATGTAAAATAAAAAATGCATATACAAATGTATCATCCTGCCACAGAAATGTTTTATATGGTATGAGAAAAAAAGGAAAAAAGTGGAAGACAGTCTTCAGTGTACAGTGATTCATGAACTATAACCAAAATAATTGCAATCTACATGTGCAGTGCAACAGGACTGTAATATTTCAGAAATCAACAAACAGCCAAAAGCAATGGAAACTTTGCAACTCTTAGGAAACGCAATTAACTCATGGCTGATTTTCAACCCTTTTCCACTATAAGTGAACTCAACAACAGCAGCTACATGAAAGAAAGAAATGCGTACCTATACAATATGACAGCTTTTCAATCTACAGTGAGGAAAGCAAAAGTTAGATAAACTTTCAAGAGGGTGAATATATGTTTTATAGTAATTTTTAAAAAGTGTTTAGTGATGTAAAAGATGATAAGAAAGAAAATGCAATAGGTGTTTTTTTTACATGCATGAGAGAGGGCTGTCAAGACTACTCAGGAATAGTAAAAATTTCCTCTGAGACAGCAAGTGAGAGGAGTTATTTTTTTGGCCATATTTTAGTGTTTGTACATATTTTACTACGTACAGATGTCTCAATTTTATCATGGAGAAAAATACAGAGAAAAATTTATACCTGACACCTTTCAATGGAAACAGACATAGACCAGATTATAAAAGCTACCCAGTGTTACAAGAGTCATAAGTCTCTTCCTGAAAAGAACAAAAGCCAAGAGTGGTTCTCAGAAGCGGAGATGTGTGATGTCAGGATGACTCCAGAGCTTAGATTTAAACAAAACAAAACAAAACAATAGCGACAAAAATAATACAAACTTCTGTTATGATAGTATACTAGCACTCTATTAGGATTCCCTGCTTAAAAAGTACTAGAGAGAATGATGAATGGATGAATAGGCTATCAGCCATGCTCATACTGCTAAAGAGGAAAAAATCAGATATACATATTAATCAATTTACCCTCTTAGAAACAGCATGCAGGACTTTCCTTTAGCTATGGGACACTCTACTGGTAGAAAAGTTTACTACAAAAATCTTAGGAAACTGTAACGTCCAGATGCACCCCAGCCATATTCAATTCACAGAGAAATAAACAAATTATTCTACAGTAGCTGGAGAAAGGGAAATGGAATAACTGACCCCCCTTTTAGGGCTCACTTATCTCCACTTTTGATCACTTTGTAATCTTTATCTGGTAGATTTTTACATGGTAGATGTAATCCTGCTCAGTCTGCTTTGGTGGCTCTGCTATGGAGTTTATGACGTCTACTAGAGAAATATAAATTCTAGAAACACTCAACAATTCTTCAACGAAGTTGAGCCTGTGAGCCTGAGTAAATAAAGAAGGAGGAAGGAGAGAAAAGGTTCCCAACCAAGTCCTTACTGATCTTCAATTTTTTAAGCCCCCATCCCCTCAGTAAACACTGACAGCCATCAATCATGTCTGGAGAACTCAGATGCACAACATTTATTCCTTACGCAGGTATCTACTGCGATGTACTGTGCAGTGTGGTGCCACTGAAAATAATGCAGCCACTGGCAGGAATTAGATATGAATTAGAACTACACTACTTCTGGCATTGGTCAGCCAGGAGAAGAGGAGGTTCAGGTTCATCATTGCTCTCTACAGTGAGCTGAAAGGAGGCTGTGGTGAGGTAAGGGTTGGCCTCTTCTCTGAGGTAACAGTGATGGGATGAGAGGGAATGGCCTCAAGTTGCACCACATTTAGGTTTGATATTAGGAAACCATGTATTTACGGACCGTTCTGTAGTTAGAACAGGCGTTAAACGAAGTCACCCCGTGAGCTCGAGTGACGAGGTGCCAAGGGCGGGCCTGGAGCGCCCCCTAGCGGCAGCTCCGCCCCCTGCTCGAACGGGGAACACGGCCAGAAGGACGCAATCCTGTGTGAGAAATTCCTTTCCCCTGGCTATGTAAGTACGTAGCAATGTGTTAGAAGGCGTCGTGATGTTATGCAATACGTACAATGCGCAGTAATTACGAAGCGCACGAATTTGAATCATAAAGATGGAGGCAGTTCAACACCTTCAGTGCAAAGGGACAATTCAACAGGGCTCTGGGAAGCAAATAACTGACACGGGGCATGCAAGAAAACTGGCTTCTCCCTACCTGCCATATAGCTACCACCCCCCACACAAAAGAGGCTTCTAGGGATAAATAAACCGAGGAACATACTCACCAAGGCAAGCATAAAGACCCTGACTTATCCACGCTAGAATAGCAAGAGTGATAAGATCTCCAAAGCTTGCTGCTATAGGAGTGGCAACATTGTCAGGATTAATTCCAGTCTTCTTTGATCCAACAATAACTCCAACCATTATTATTCCTAGATTCAACAAAGAAGAAAGAACAGTAATGGTATCTACTGTTGTAATCACTTAGGAAATTTCAAGATAATGGCAAGTGGAAACCTAGTAATTAAGTCTTTGCTTTTGTCCCTCCCACTTGACTGACTACTCTTTTAAGTTTCAGTCATTTTAAAAAATTAAGTTAGATTTTAAAAGAAAATGACACTAAGCATACACCAAAAAAATCAAGAACCATCTGTATAATGTATTATTTTGCTTATGATTAGAATTAGCGAGACTGAAATTGTAAATCAATCAACCATTCCCTGCAGAAAAAACATTCAGCATATTACTTCTACGTCCCATTAACTTTGGATGATTGAAATTTTAATGCCTCTACCCTGAAAACAGCATTAGATAACATATCCATGTGTCTGAAATTGGGAAAAACTGATATTACAATTTTCATCTATTTTAGCAAGTAGCATTATTTATTGCAGGCTAAATTAGGAGCTCACTTTCAGAAAAACTGCCTAGAGAATCACATGCCAAGAAATTCTCAACAGGACTGAAATGATGTCAGATTTCCAAAGTGCCTGTTTCATGCAAAGGAGGTTGATGTTCAGATAGTAATTTCCTGCGCAAGCCCATCACCAGATAACACCAAAAGTTTATTTTCATGTCCACCTAATATATGAGAAGGGGAAAAAACACATTAATGTTCCCCAGCTCTCCTGCTGCTCTTAATTCTGTAGCATGATCAAATTCAATGGCTTTGTAGCTATTAAAAAAAAGTGTAAGCTCTTAATTGAATGCATAACCTTAACAATTTCATAATTTTTGCATAAATAAGCAAGTCAATTTAATAAAAAGGAAGCAACATATTTTACTTGATCTACTATTATTCAGGCTTCTGATACTCTGTTTTTTTAAGAACATTTCAAAGATAGAGTCACTCCTTTTTCACCCTTCTATCCTGTAAGTACTGCACTCTACAGTTAAATATTTCCTGACAACTGGCAAGAGACGTTTAAATCCATCACACTGTGTGGCTCAGGACAGATACATCGATGCTGCTTGCAGAAGGGGACCTGAACTTGACCCAAAGCCTTCACACAGCAAACCAAATTGTTCACTTCAGAAACAAAGCAGAGCACAGGATAATACACGAGCAGCATGGATAAACAGGAAGTTTGGATTCAGCTGATCTAAAATCCAAGCTCACTTCATCTTAATTACAAATATGTCCTACCTGCTTACTATTAAGAATAAACTTTGTACATCACTGAATACAGAAAGTAGGAGAAAACAAATTCTTCACCCTACAAGGTAAAATCTAAAAGACATATGTTTCGTTTTAGACATGCTAAGGAGGACAGAAAATCAAATATTTTTGAAAGAATATGACAGATGTATGCAATACTCAGGCTTATATGGAAATTGTAAAAGGGCATCCTACCCGTAACTGTGTTTCAGATGTTTTAGACCCTATTGGACTTAATTTTTTCATGAACAGCAGCATAATATACACTCAGCATGCAGAGAGAATTAAAAAGCTATAAAAAGTAACATATATTCTTCTTTTACCTTGTAAAAGAGAAGCTATGAATGCAGTTGCTACACTGCTAGAACACAGAAGGATTGAATGACTGAAGCTGTATTTGCCTTCTGGAATCCAGCCCAATATAACTGCTGCCACTGCTGCCAGAAAACCAACTACTGTTGCCTGAACCTGGAAAAATAAAAGAAGGAAAACAATTGTTTTTTAGTGATAAGTGACTCCTAAAATAGTTGATAGTTTTAAGAGGATTGCAGAATGATTTTGTTATTCTTTCCTCCACATCTATTTGCAAGCTGTAAAGGGAGCATGCTCCGCTCATCTACTTTGTGGAGACAGTGATAACTCTAGCTGACCAAGAAGAAACATCTCATGCTAACAGGAAAGGCCTTAACCACAATTCACAGACTGAAGAATAACAGAAGTCAGATTAGGGAAAAGAGCTGAGGAATTACAAGGAGCAAAAGATGAAATGCTTCAAAGAGGTTCCTAAGCCACTTAAAACAATGAAGTCACAGCATAAACTTTTCACTTATTCTTGAGTATGTTGCTTTATAACACAGCACATGAAATAGTTCTTGAGATTAAGAAATAGTTGCTTTGGAGATCAAACACTCCTTTCCTCAAATGAACAAACTATTTAAAATATTGCTTGTTACCCAAAAGCTCCATCACATATTCTTTAAACGTTGAGTCCAATGAAAATACAGCATTGAAAATATTTGGGAGGTCAAATTCCTTAAAAATGTGCTCTCAAAAAAATTAAAAGGAAGTACCCTTGCTGCAGGCCCAAAGAATACTTTACTTTATATTTATTGTGATAAATATAAGTTTCTATTGCTTTATAGAAGAACTATGCAGCACTAAAAAAGATCAGTCACAAAAACATTGCACATTAAGTATGAGACTTAAGTAGAATTTGTTTCCTTTTAACACTGGACCCTTCTTGTCCACATTTGTGGTGGGCTTTTTAAATAACTTCGTTTACTTAAAAAAGTTAATAAAAAATCAATTACACTTACCTGTTTTAAGGCCAAATTGCCAATTATCAAGTTCCATTTCTCAATGGGAGAATCCATTTTTCCAATATTTACCTGTCAAAATTGTAAGAGAATTTCAGACATTTGGGTTTAAAATTGTATTACTTTGAAAATTCACTAACAAGGCAGAAACCCACAAATAATTCAACTCTCATTGCAAAAAGAGACATTTTGAAAGTAAATTAGAACTTCTCTGTGCTTTTTCAAGTTAAACATTCCAGTTGATTTAAAATTGTATTTAAACCATCTATACAAAAGTAGCTAAGCTCAGTGCAGCTTTACATGCTAACTTGTTTAACATTAGCTTATTGTGCAAGGTACACTAGCTGCCTTGTGTTCCAGGAATGTCCAGGCACCACTAGTGATTAGATCAGAGGCTGAAAGGGAAAGTTCTCAGTGTTCAATCACCACAGGCTGAGCTTGTTTCTGTGGCCGTTAAATTCCATAAGCCAATCAAAAACTGCACAGGAATACAGTGTATGAGCACAAACACTCTCGTGGGAGTGTGTTAATTGACTGCAATAAAAATACTTGCATCCAGACATTGGAAGTGATTAGAGAAGATGATAGACCACATCTCATTGCCTTTAGTATTCTAATTTTTCATTTATACAGCACAGCTACAGACTTACGATGCTTTAATGATATAGGTCCAATTGAAACACAATTGCTGGAAAGACAGTAAAGTAATTATTCTGACAAAAAGTATGCACATACTTTTACTGCAGTATTTCATACCTGCATTTATTTTTTGAATTAAACGAAAACTCTGAAGATAGCATGTACCACTGCAATATGACAATATTTAAAATAACTTCCTTCTTGAACTAAGTTTTTAATATTTTTTAGCATAAGCTGCAGTGATGTTGTCCACAGAATCCTAATCTTTAAAGCACTTTATATTTCTTTATAGGTCTTAATGCATATTTTTTTCCTCTTCTGATAATTTCTGATTGGTTTTACTTCTGTTCCATATTGTTCTATTTGTGATATTAATCAGTTGTGCAGAACAAAGTATTAAAAAAACAGCGGCTTAAAAAAGGGAAATGAAATAAGACACTATCTCAGTCTGCACTGTCATTATTTTATGGTGTTTAAAATACAGTCAAAGCTCCACAGGGAGGTGATTATCCCTCTACTCTGCTCTTGTGAGGCCCCATCTGCAGTACTGTGTCCAGGTCTGGGACCCCCATTACAAGAAAGACAGGGAGCTGTTGGAGAGGATCTAGACGAGAGCCACGAAGATGATCTGGGGACTGGAGCATCTCTCCTACGAAGACAGGCTGAGGGAGCTGGGCTTGTTCAGCCTGGAGAACAGAAGGCTGTGGGGTGACCTCATTACAGCCTTTTAGTACCTAAAGGGAGCTTACAAACAGAAGGGGAGTCAACTCCCTCATCCCAAGCTGGATGTGGCTCTGGGCAACCTGGTCTAGTGACTGGCAACCCTGCACTTATCAGGAAGGTTGAAACTAGATGGTCATTATGGTCCTTTTCAACCCAGGCATTTTATGACTCTGTACAAGGGTAGATAATGGCAGGACAAGGGGAAATGGTTTTAAGTTGAGGGAGGGAAGATTTAGATTGGATGTCAGGGGGAAGTTCTTTACAGAGTGAGTGGGGAGATGCTGGAACAGGCTGCCCAGGGGGGTTGTGGATGCCCTGTCCCTAGAGGTGTTCAAGGCCAGGTTGGATGGGGCCTTGGGCAGCCTGGTCTAGTATCAGACATGAAAGTTGGTGGTCCTGCCTGTGGCAAGGGGGGTTGGAGCTTCATGATCTTTGAGGTTCCTTCCAACCAGGGCCATTTTGTGATTCTGTGATTCTATGAACCACCTTTGTATTCTTTTTAAATATATACAATCAATGAATTAAATGACAGGCAATGGAGAGCTTTTTTTTTTTTTTTTTTGTTCTTTGAAGAAGCATTTAAAAAGTATCCAAAAAAACTGTTAAAACAGTAATTTTGCAAAATAGCCAATCCAATCCAAAAGTGAGCTGCTACCAGAAAGTGCAGTTCTTTTTCCCCTACCATTGGCTACATGTTTGTCATTCTTCAGCCAGATCCACCAGTTCCACGAGTGAGTTCACATCAACTCGCATGTCAAGCAGAGACTGATGGAAAACATTCTTTTGTGTAGTGAAAAGTTTGGGTTTTTTTTTCTTACAAAATGATCTGATCCACCCATGGTGGCACAAATACTCTTCGGATTTGAAAGGAAGAAGGAAAGTAGGAGGACTTCTTTCAGCTGCAGATTTCTATTAAGTGAGGTAAAGTTTATTGATATACTGTGGAATACACGAATCCAAACAAAAGGCTTGTAAAGCCACATTGCTAGCCTGATAACACACAGTAAAAATGAGAGTCTGAATAAAGTTTACAGGGATGTCTGGATGAGTGGGTTTTAGTGTTTTTTTTCTTTACTTCCTCTTAAAAAGGGAGAAGTAATAAGGAGAAAAGGCAACAGTGTGAATAGAGAAGATGAGAATGACGCAAAAAAAGCCAAAACAACACTGAAGAATACAAAACATATCACATACATATCATGCTTGAGCAGGCAGTTGACCTAAGTATACCTCATACACTTTTCAAGGAGTAAGAGAAAACTGTTTACATCCACGCTAATGCCAAAGACAAGTACAAGCTATGCCCTGAAATTGACTGAAACCACAGTCTTGAGACAGTGAAATGACTGATTCCAAACTAGAATAATCAGTAGCAAACAGCTAAAGCAGAAATTTGAGCAAGAAGATGAAGGTAGGTGATCAGGTAAAACTTGAAACCAAAGGTACTACTGATTAGTTTACAACTCCAAAAGCACAGACACAAATACAAATTCATATGCAATTATAAGCTAGCTGAGCAAGAATTATCTCCAACACTGAAGTCATGCTAGGAATTTTATCTCCAAAGTAAAGTTATTCACAGGGGCACAGTCTTGCATTTAGGGTGTATCTGGTGGGGAGCTGTCTTTGGCAAATTTAGGAGAGAAGATTAATCATACAACTGCCTGCCAATAACTGCTTAGATATGTCCTGTATTAATATATTCCTTCAGTTTTCACTTAGGGTGAGGATAACAGAAGCAAAGATGGGATGGCTGAAGGGAGTCACAGTCAATTAAATAAAAATTTATGAAATGTGCAAAAGTCAGAATAATCTCAGAGAACTGGCATGTAAATTGCAGGTCCAGTAACAAGCTGTTTGATTAAACTTTTCAGAAGGAATGATACTGTACAATATCGCACCTGTTCTCAAAAACTGGGGAAGGCAGAGCAACCACTGCAACTGTTCATGAGTTTAAAGTCTTGTGTGGTTCTATGTGGTTCAGTGATTGTGTCATCAGGAAATGCCAAGGAAATCAGAGCTCCCATATGCAACACTGCATTGTCTGAAGAAATGTATGCTTTTCCAGCCTCTTCTTGGTCAGTTAATCTACCTTTATGTTGGCAGTAACCTGGCTTGGTCAAGATAGCCATGGAAAATGTTTGCTGTGACGTAAGAGGAAGCCTTTCATGATATGCTTGAATAAAACCAACTGAAGCATCAACTGACTTACGTTTTGGTGAGACTTAACGGCACTGCTAAGTGACACTGGCAATACTCCTCAAACTAAGCCCCTTCATATTGGGCTGTTCTTATGGGGTTTGTGCTTCAAATGGCCAAACTCAAATGGCTCTGAAAAAAATCAAGCTTAAGACACCTGCAGATTATATTATCACACAGATTATGAGATAAGATTTCCATTCCATTCAGGGTTAGGGAAAGGGGAATGAACCCCATAATGTCCATTTTAGTTAATCACTGAGAATGCACCCACTATTGTAGAAACTCCAGTGTCAATTTTCTCTGTGTGAGGAAGATCAACTCCTGTCAGTTCAGTAACAGTTGACAGATGATATGAACTGGGGTTAGCATAACACAAGGAAACCTTCACTGGATTGCTACAGTTATGTCCATCACAGTGTGCATTTGGGCAATGATTCAGTATAACGTGATAATGAAATTTACTAATGACAGAATGGTGAGAGGCCTTGTCAATACAAAGCATTTCAAACTGGATGACCTTGAGGATTACATCAAAAGTGATGATATTCAATAGTACAAGTGCAAGGTCATGCACTTACAGACCAACAATGTTTCTGCCAGAATATGGGAGTGACAACTGGAAATAACACAAAAGAAGAAATACTAGGACATGGTAATTGATTGCAAAGTAACTATGAGGTCCCAGCTTGACATTACTAGGAGAATAAATAGATATAAACAGGAAAGTTTCAAGAGCAATTGTACAGAGAAATATGGAAGTGTTATTTTACAGTGTTATATTGAGGTCTCATCTGCAGTTACACACACCTTTGACCAAGCATTTTCTACAAAGATTCATGCAAGCAGGCACAGGCAGAGAGAAGGTGGCCTTGATGGAAAATGGAACGCTTATCTTACAAAGGAGAAGTACTGCAAAGGTGGCGTCATACAGAAATACATAATTCAGGCACTAGAAATAGTTTAGCCACATAATTAGAACGCTGTTCACAATAGCTACTCCCACACACAGAAAAATACATATGCTAAGGCAGTTTGGCTTGTTTAGGCTAAAAAAAAAATGAAGGTACAGAACATCTCTTGAGATGTAGAAAAGAACTATGACACATACAAAAGAAGATATTAAAAAAAAAAGAAATAGTTATCTTGCAATGCTAACAACAAAAAGAAAGATGAAAAAAAGCATAAAATTATTTAGCTAGAAGGTTAATAAAATCAAACCTTCCAGTTTCATTAACAAAGGTCTGGAATAGCTTCATTTCAGAGTTAAGAGGTCCATGGAAAAACATGTTCAAAATATGTAAAATCTGCATGTTAGCATATTGAAACCCCACCAAGGTCAGAGATATTAGACAACCTTACAGAATACACACGTAAATCTCAATTATCTAATATACTGTTCTGAATGATGGCTTAGAAGAGACCAAAGAAGTAAAATATTGATGTGTGGTGATTGGAAGAGGCTTGCCTTTTTAACGCTGTCAATTTAATAACAGATTAAACAGCTCCTGCAAAAGCCAGATTAAGCCATAAAGATAAAACACTAGTGTTCCAAAGATTTGTTTTCAGGAATTTACAACACCTATCAGAAGAGAAAGTTACTTACTGCAGTTGACAGCCTGGATGCCAAGGTCATTTCCAAATTTCCTTTGAGACCAAGAAGAGCAGGAACCAGGATAAAAACTTCAGTAACATTCTTGAATACATCCCAGTGCTATTTAAAGGATACAGTGAGGAAAAAAAAAAAAATCAATTGAAAAATGCCCTTTAGACCATCTTAAGAGTAGTGCCAAAAAATCTGTAACTCATAATTTAGGTCTCTAAAAAAATCGACCTTTGAAGATTAGACCCAAAAGTCTTTAAGGCAAGAGTTGCTATCCATCCAGTTAATACAGAATTGTGCCTGCATACCACTACTTCAAAAACCAGAATACGAAAAGCAAGCAATACAAAATCTCCTAAACTAATTTCTCCACTACTGCACTTTCTCTGTGTATTTAAAATAGAGATTAATTGTAGGTCACTAAAAAATTATTCTTCCTGTTTTATCAGTATTTATTTTACTCTCTCCGAGAACAGTTTAGGTACTTAATCTGTTTGATGCATACAATTTCTGTTTGATTAAGCATATTAATTTTGGCCACTTAAACTGCACTAATACTACTACATCAAAGTCATCACCAGAAAAAAAAAACATTTATAACATTTATTTGTACTAGCAGGATGCTACAACTTACGCTTACAAAAAAACTAAAACCAAAAATAACAAAAAAAACCTAGTTAAAAAGAAATGTCATTAATTTCAAGGTTTTAAATAATTTCAAAATAGTACTGGGTGCTATGACTGCTCTTAATTTACCGCGATATTTTCATCTCACCTCTTGTGGCTCTCCAGAAACCTCATCTGAAAAAACAGCTAGGAATAAGTTATTAAACAGACAGAGCCTGTACATGAAAAACTGTCTCCTAACTTTTTACATGTGAGAAATTTAGAAGAATACAGATTTCCAAAACCTAGACTTTATAAAACAAACCAAGACAAACTCTCCAATATTATTTTGTGTGCTGACTTCTCAGCACAGTAGCTGTACTACTTTATATGCCTGTCTATTCATGTATTTAATTTCTAATCACAGAAACTAACAAAACTTTAATATATCATTTTAATAAATCATCTTTGTATTCAGAGATTTGCAGCAATTTAAAATATGATTTTAATTTAAAAAAGGATTCAATTTTCAAATGTAAACAAGATCGGAGAAGTTACCTATGTATTTACTATTGAAAAAGAGTAGCTATGAAATGGTTTCAAAGAGCTTCGAATTCTTTGTCTTCCTTAAATTTTTGTTTTCACAACGTATTCTTTCATGCTTCCCTGTTTTACTGACATTATGGTTTCATTTAGGATGGAAAAAGGTAACACTGGCCAATTATTTTTGACTTTGTGCCCCCTCTCTCTCTCAGTCACAGTGCTGGACTGGGAAACCAATAATGACTGGAAGTAATACAGAAGGAAAAAAAAAAAAAAGAAGTATTATCTCAATCCAGATCAAAGAACAGCTAAAAAAAATACACCAAAAGAGCACTTCTGTCCCTTTCACAGAAGAAAGGCATTGGGAAACATTGGGTTGGAAGCCAATAGTGGCGGTAGGCACAACTGCCTTTTTTGGCTGATCATTAAGCTGTATTGTGACGTAAATCACATATTAACAATGTATGAACAAAGCATCCGTAAAAAGAATAAGATTGGCACAGGCAAAGCACAAGACTGAGGCAAAACAGGGTAAGGAAGCAGTAAAGTTTGCTTGTCAATTATAATTTTCCTTTTTCTTGACGCATGAAGTGTCTTTCCATTGCAACTGATTTAAGACCGAGCTTTATTTTCTCTCTCAAGTTTTTGAGTAACAAAAAACAGAATAGAGCAGAGTAATTCCTGTTGGAAGGGACCTTCATAGATCATTTAGTTCAATGTGCCATTCCAGGGCAGTTAACAAAAAGTTTTAAAAAATGGCCACTTCTTACTCCTCCTTCAAGAGAACTTTTTTAACTCTAAGTATAGCTAAAGAAAACCCCAAGACAGAATGAAACAAAACAAAATAGAAGCAGATGAATTTTCCTACTGCCTTTTCATTTTGAATAGCATGGATATTTAACCTGTTTGAATATATTTTTATGAAACTACCCATAAGGGAAGACAGAATCTATTAGATTTTTGCTTACAACAAATTTCAACTTCAGGGAAAAAATAAAAGTAGGTAGGAAACGAAAGTAAATATGGCTTCCAAAAAGCAAAGAGAAAGCAAGAAAGTAAGCTAATCTAATAAACCTTCCTTAGCTGCTACTTTCTCAAGAATTTTCTTCAAATGTCACTACACAAAGGAATGTTTGGTAGGAAACTTCTGCTTTTAACTTCACAAAAAAAAACAACCACTACAGCTGTGTTAAGCTACAAAACCAGTCCTACAGAAGTTCCGTATCAGTAGGATATTAGTGATACAATACTCCAAAACAGGTTTTAAAAAGGTTATTTACGCAACTCTTGAAATTCAAAGGAACTTGTAGTTTATCTTAACCCTGAATAACTATCATCAATTAAATCCACTATCATGAATTAAGATAGTCTGCTTCTATGGACCTACCACAGCTATATTTCAAGGTGAAAGTGATTCTGCAGCCCTGTTCACACCAATAATGTTTGTAATTCCATGTGTTCAGTATACTTAACACTACATAAAAAAAAGTAACACCTGGATATCTAAAAAAGCTCTAATTCACTGCAGAAGAATTTCATGTGGTGTATGAATTTTAGGCATGCTTCCACATATGATACACATTATCTTGGATCAAATCTATACATTATGTCAGAAATCGCAGAGATCCGAAGCACAAAAGGAACATTTATTACTGACCAGAATTTTTAACTGATTCATACTAGTTATTATATTTCTATCTTCAGTTAAAGCAGAAGTAACAGTTCCTTTCCACCAGTTCACTGTGGCTGTGATAATACTTACCAAGTCTTGAATAACTCCAAACAAAATATTTGAGCTGTTTAAGATAATCTGGAAGGGAAAGCAGTTCATAATAGCAGAATCATACACACATTTTATTACTTCTCGTTATTGTAAGCATCCACAATATCATGTGTCAAACTATAAAACTCACAGATTATCTGTTAAAAATATAGTTCCCAAAGCAAATACCAACCTGTACAATATCCAAAACCATGCCAGCTGAAACAGTTCCAAATCCTGCTAGCAAAAAAGGTACGAGTATCTGCAGTGCCATAATACTACTAGATTCCTTGGGTTGCTTTCTACTCCCCTCCACAATAATATCTTCATTACTGTCACTAGACAGATGGTCTTCCTGCAACATTGCATCTGTTTCTGAAGTGTCCATTCCATCACAGTAATTATAACTGGAAAAGTCATCATACTTAGGGCTACAGTTAGAAGGGCTGTGTCCATTACTACCATGAAAAGTTTGTTCTGAGAAGTGATGATATTCTGCGTGCTGCTCAGATTTAACATTATAATTATGTCCTGCTGGTTGTAATCCATCTTGCCAAACACCATTCACTTTTTTGTGTCTTTCATCCTGGTTTATTTGGTAAACAACTGGAACCATACTCAAAAGCAGATTCAAAAATTTATCGGACTGAACTGTACTAAGACTTATGGTCCAGTTTACAAAACCTTCTCTGTCATGAACTTTGCTGTTTGTTTTGGTGATGATAGATCTGTCTTTACAGTTAGTCATAGTGCTACAGAAGTACAGGTTGGAAAAGCACTTTGTCCTTCAGATGTCAGTGAAGAAATCTTGAAGATGAGTTATCAAGTGCCACACTTGATAATTCTAAAACAGATAAATTTAAATGATGCTTTCTTGAATGCAAAAAGTTTTTTTAATGGATCTCACATCTTCAACAACTCCATACACAAATCTGGATCTAAAAAAAAAAGAGAAAAAAAAAAGAAAAAAAAGGTATATATTGTAATGGCATATTACATTTAATTAAAATTAAGAGGAAAAAAAGGAGTTAGGATAAATAAGATATAAAAAACCTGATTTTCATTCAAATTTGCATTTGGAGTAGGTTGTAAATATTTCCTGAAATATATAACGTTCTGATATCTAGTGACTACTAAACTATAATTATTTGATCAATATTAACACCAGTCATGGTCACTTTGTTTTGCTTTCTGCAAGTCATACAAATAGAATTATATCTTTTATATTTAACATGACTGCGCAATTATTTCTACTTTCCAACTTCTGTTATGGCCGAACATTAAACAATGATATATTGGTAGTCTCATGTCATTTGACATTTCCTCCATTAGTAGTCACTTTACCTTCCTCTTCTTTAGCTTTCATGTGGTGATAATAGTTACAGTAATTTACTGTAAGTACAAAATTACTTCACTTGAAATTTTGTTGATCTGTTTTTATTACTGGATGCCACAAATACAAGAAAATCATTGGCACAACCAAAGAAACAAAAGTTGGTCAGACTACACCAAGAGAATGCTGAATGACGTAATTCCACAAGTTCAATACACTATATACAGAATCATAGAATCACCAAGGTTGAAAAAGACCTCAAAGATCATCTCATGCAACTGTCCACTTACCACCAGTATCTCCCCACCAGGGACAGTGACTCCACCACCTCCCTGGGCATCTTGTTCCAGTGCCTGACCACCCTTTCAAAGAATACATTTTTCCTAATATCCAACCTGAGCCTTCCCTGGTGCAACTCAAGGCCATTCCCTCCTATCCTATTGCTAGTCACGTGGGAGAAGAGGCAGACCCCTCCCACGTTGTGGATGCCCCATCCCTGGAGGCATTCAAGGCCAGGCTGGATGTGGCTCTGGGCAGCCTGGTCTGGTGGTTGGTGACCCTGCACATAGCAGGGGGGTTGAAACTAGATGAACACTGTGGTCCTTTTCAACCCAGGCCATTCTATGGTGCTATGAAAAAAGCATAACGTAGTCATTGATAATCTCATTCAAAATATTTAAACAAACCTATACTCTTTTTCTTTTTTTTTAAGTGCTGGTACACACAATAGCAATACTCTCACTAGTGGGGGAACAATAATGTAGAAGTTCCTCAAATGCATATTCTTTGGACTATGGAATTCAGGAGCAAATACATCCACAAGCATTTTAAAGTACTCTATTCCTTCTGCAAAGTTACGTGTGAGGTCACTAAGAGCAGAGTCCAATTGCCTGCAAAGTTCTATGATTCTATGAAGGTCTCCCTTGTACTCCAGGCATGGCCTCACCAGAGCTGAGTACAGGGGGACAATTACCTCCCTGCTCCTCCCTATTAATAGGCTACCCTATTTCTGATACAAGCCAGGATGTCTTCTTAGCCACCTGGGCAGTGCTGGCTTGTGTTCAGCCAAGTGTCTGTCAACCAACACCCCCAGGTCCATTTCTTCCACACAGTCTTCTGGCCATTCTGCCCCAAACCCGTACCGTGTCCAGCCTTCTTGGACCCCTTTATCCTTCAGCATTGAATCTGTAGGGACCCTCCCTACCACTGTCCGGAACAGATCCAAATCCACTGTCTGGAAGTCCAAGGTAGCAGTTTTGTTGACCCCCCTCCTGGCTTCACTAAGAATAGAGAACTGCCATTTTGCAGTCACTCTGCCCAAGACAGTTCCTGACCTCCACACCTCCCGCCAGTCCTTCTCTGTGAACAGCAGGTCTAGTGGGGCACCTCCCCGGGCAGGCTCTTTTACCAGTCAGCAAGTTATCCTCCTGAAGACTCTAGAAACCTCCTAGACTGCTTGTTCTGCACTATGTTATATTTCCAGTATATATCAGGGAAGTTGAAGTCCCCCATGAGCACAAGACTGGTGTCTGCGCAACTTCTGCCAGCTGCTTGTAGAACACCTCGTCCATCTCTTCAGCCTGGTTAGGCAGTCTGTAACAGACCCCCACCAGGATGTCAGCCTTGTAGGCCCTCCAACATGCAAAGCTGGAAAGACTTTCATTTTTACAAACTGCAGGAAACAAAAATAGTTGAAGGTTGGAGGATTTTTCATCTCCTTGCCTATGAAGACGAGGCTCCTACATTCACGTTTATGTTATGATTTCTATACTTTCACTCCCCCCATTTCAATGTTTTTAAATAAGCTAATATTTTTCTATCGTATTAAATTTCACAGAGAATAGAGAGGTCAAAGCTATCAGCCTTACCGGAGATTTACATTTGTGCCCTTGCTGTAAGGCATCTTCAAACGTGAGGATAATTCACCCACATATGGCCACAGCAAGTCAACTTCAGATCTGCTGCTTACAGAAGCATTTGGTTTGCTTTTCTGAGCGAAGACTCATATTTACCATGAAGACTTTCCCCCTACCAATTGCTTTATCCAAGGCAGTTCTGATCAACAAAAGAACACTTTGAAAGCAACAAAGGAGTGTATTGCTTGATTTAGCAAAAGAAAAGTATTTTTTTCCACATGACCAACAAAGAAACCAAGATTCCTGAAATAACTTTTTGCTACCTGGTAGTAACTTGTGCTATGCTGAACCTTTTATTAGAAGCATATAAAAACTCCTAGGCCTCAATTCTAGTTTCCACACACATCATTACGAGTAACAAAACAACCTCTGTTCTCTCCCAGAGGAGCTCTAACCACAGGCCAAAATGGTGCTGGGTTATGCGCTACAGAAAGGCAACAACAGGGAACAATTTTGTTTCTGCCCTGCACAAAGAAGGTTTTAGCTGTGTAAAAGAAAAGATACGGTGCATAAAGAAATACAAGCAGGTGTATCATTAAACTAGCAAACTATTACCAACTTCTGAGACAATAATAAATAGCTTTATTGTAGAAGGATTAAAAGGAGTACAGGAGAAGAGCATTTCGTGGAAACTGGAAAATTAAGATTGCAGAAAGGCTCTGGCCCTGGACGCTGAAGTGGCCAACTGATTTATGAGGATGGAAAGTGGTACAGTAGCTATGATACATGCAAAGGGGAAATTCAGACCACTTCCAACAGGTGAGTTTCAGTTGATCACAAGAAGCATCCAGATTAGAGAAACTTTATTTAATAATTCAAGAATAGTGTGCGAAACTAAGATGTGAAGTGTTCATGATAAAAGATGCTTACATCAAAGCAGTCTCATTAGAGGTCTTTCGGGGTAGTGACACTTGTTTGCTTGTTAGTTTTTGAGGAGTGTTCACAAACAAAGGACTCTATTTGACTCCCAGGGAGTCAAATGAGAAAATTTCCCAATAGCTGTAAGATGGCAGAGTTTAGCTGTCACTGTGGTTTCTCCAGTGTCCTCCACTCACATCACTGGAGTGCTAGGCTGGTGATTCATGGAAATTATTCGTTGCTCAGGAACTCTGACTAGAAGTATTTGGGTTAATTATCCATATCTTTATACCATATGGGTTTCTCTCCTTGTAAGTTTATACTTTCTGTTTTTTCAAGAAATGAACCCCTTGGGGATATAGTGGTTTCACTGAATACAGTGTTAACAGTGTAGAACAGTGTAGAAGTGTTAACAAATAGAAATGGCATCTACAAGTGTGAAAAAGAGATAGAAAAATATTTCAAACAACTGTAAAAGCTTCAGAGACAGACTGGTAGCCAACAGCTGAAACAAAAAAGTACTAAAGCAGTTTAGAAGGCAGTCATTTAGATTTTTCCTACCAAACTGCCTGGAATGATAAAATGTGAGCTAACGGTAAATGCTGAAAAATGAGAACTTAAGAAGATAAAGTGAAAAATATACTACAGTACATAAACCTACAGTGAAAAGTAATTACATCTTCAGAGGATAAGTGTACAGTCCCCTGAATTCAGCTATTCATTTCTAAAAACCTGCTCTTCCAAATGTCACCTGATGCAATAATTTCATTGTGAGTTCTAGATGCTAATATTGCTGTATTTACTTTTTGCTTGCAGCTACAGAAAGCAGCAAACCATCTATAGAACAATATGATCTTGAGGATCAGAAATCCCTGTGAAGCTTTATCATTGACATGAACAATTGCAATTTTATTGTGTTGTCTAGAAAAGATATAGCCAGGTAAAGAAGCAAGCACTACTAGAATAACTCATGTGAAATAAAGGAAGCAAAATGCTCAAAAACGAGTCCAAAACAGGAGGAGATAAGTGAGTCTGGTTTCCTGCCATACAATTAAGCTGAAGAGAAAGGAGAAGTGTGAGAAAAAAAAACAAACAACCAGAAACCAAGAGATAAAGATTCTTTGAGAAGCCATAAAACTGCCTCAAATTTATCATACTTGGCATGTTATAAGTGAAATGAAAGCAGACCCTGTCTTTCTCCCTTCAAGGAAAATAATGAGCTATGCCCAGACATAAACATTTTCTACTCTTTTTTCCTAAGCAGCTACATTTAACAATTTCCTCTTTTCATTCATTCACATATCAATTATTGTGCATTATTTACCTCTCTTTCTCAGTCCTGCAAATGCACACAAACAGAAATACAACCACACCCCACTGTTTGCTGAGGACATATTCCTGAAAAGCGAAACACTTAGCAGTTCAACATACAACAAAGCAATTTTCCCCATATAGAATTAATGCAATTGATGAGTACACCGATTTTAAAAATACCAACAGAGATTGAATGTATGACACAGAAAATGAACAGCAGAAGCAGATGGTATGGAAAATAGACAGGCCCATAAGTAGGAAGAGATGCTGACTTGTGGAAATCTCACACACTTCAGCAATGAAGCTGAACACTGGACCAGTATCACATTTTTCCATAATTCACCTTCGATTGACTTGATTGCTTTTGTTTCATCTGAGGAAGATAAAAGAAATGAAAATGTAATTGTTCAGGATGGAGTAGCAGGAACAGATTTCATCTTCTAAACATTGTTTCAGTCACAGTCTTGATTCAGTTCTCAAGAGTATGGGTAGGAGGTGCTTCTTCCACACATCCTCATGTGTATTCAAAGAATAAAAAGAGAGTCCAGAGGAGGGCCACAAAGATGATCAGAGGGCTGGAGCACCTTCCCTACGAAGACAGGCTGAGGGAGCTGGGCTTGTTCAGCTTGGAGAAAAGAAGGCTGCAGGGTGACCTCATGGCAGCCTTTCAGATCCTAAGGGAAGGCTATAAACAGGAGGGGAGTCAACTCTTTGAAAGAGTAGACAACAGCAAGACAAGGGGAAATGGCTTTAAGTTGAGGAAGGGAAGATTTAGGTTGGATATCAGGGGGAAGTTCTTTACAGAGAGAGTGGTGAGGTGCTGGAACAGGCTGCCCAGAGAGGTTGTGGATACCCCGTCCCTGGAGGTGTTCAAGGCCAGGTTGGATGGGGCCCTGGACAATCTGGTCTGGTATTAAATGGGGAGGTTGGTGGCCCTGTATGTGGCAGGGGGGGTTTGGCTTGATGATCCTGCAGGTTCTTTCCAACCCAAGCCATTTTGTGATTCTGTAATATCCATCACTGGAAGGATTAAAGGAGTGGACATCAGGGCTAAAAGTTTGACTGTACAGCAATTAGTCTGCTAGAGATTAATTTAAAGCATGAAAACAATAGCTATGCTTTTCTAAGTTCATTCAAAGAAAGCAGGAAGAAGAACAGTGAACAAAAAAAACACAAATAGTGTCAGCATTATGATGGGCTAAAACAAACATTTATTGAAGTCTAAGGCTGGGAAAATTAATTTTCTGATTGTTTTCGGAGTTTGGCAAAAAAAAAACCAAAAGATAACACCTAGCTAAATAATACTGAGCTTCTGGATGGGGCCCAAAGCAACCTGTTGTAGTCGAGCCTACACTGAACAAGGCTAGTGACAAGGCAACGTCCAGAGATCCCTTCCAATCTCAAGAATTCTCATATTCTGAAGTTTGGAAGGGGAATTTTGTAAATTTTGAATAAGATTCATGCAGATGAGACAGTATTCTGCACAGCCTCTTCTCCACTGCTGTGTCCTGTGTACGTGCAAGTTCACAGTATCAAGCTGATATCCTTACGACAGAGATGACTGTCACTGACACTGCTGTATCCTAGTGAACATTTCAGTAGAAAGTGAAAGCTACATCAGATCACCTGAACATATAGAGCAAGCAAACAGATTGTTTTATCATTAACCATTTTGTAGAACTCAGAACCAAGGATAGTGTGCTGTGCTATGATTATTTATACCAGATATTAAATGCTTGGTACAAAAAGATGGAAAACGTGCTGAAAAACAATAAATGTCACATGCATAGCAGCATTATGGGCAGTACGTACCACTTTTAAATGTTATGCAGTATACTTTTTAATATGGTGTTTATTCTGTGGCAGTTGTAGGTTAAATCAACAGCAGAATAAAGAAAAGAGAAAATAGCGTGAGGAAAAGAAAGAGATGAAACAACCTCCAAATGCCTTTATGAATTTAAGTAATACACCGAAAGAGCAGCCAGCCTCAGGCTCAATTTTCAGACAAGTTTTAGACTGCTGCATTTCACTTCCTGAACATGTCAGCTTTCGATTTTGGCCCCAAGGAAGGGAAAAGCAGCTGTCAGAAAAAAGACTTGGTTTGCCTCTGACCTTCAATTCAATTAAAAAAAAAAAAAAAAAAAAAATAAAAAAGAAGCAAAACAGAGCCAGAAATGAAGGAGCAGGCTGTGAAATGTGGTTACGTTGCTACATCACCCCAATGGAATGCCAGCACAAAAACTACCTGCCAAAAGGTGGGAAGAGTCTGAAATAGAGGAGGTAACATGCTCCTCTAGATTATGTAACCAGTGGGTACTTAACAGGATGAGTCCTAACTGTATGACTTGGGATCTTGATTACAGGTTTCTAAGGGGGGCATGAACTGCTTATTAAGTCAGGCACTAGAATACAGATCTCACATTGTTTTTGGAGGATAATATCCCAAAGTATTTGAAAATGACATCCACCTTTTTTCTTTCTGAAACGTCTACCCACCATACTGTAGCCTTATGGCTCCAGGCTCAGAACTTCAATAAGGCAATATACACGGGGAACAGTGCCAAAACAGGTCAGCCCGTCTAGTCCCATCTGTTATCTTCAGCATTACTGGTAAAGGGAGGATCTCACTTAAGGTCACATACAGAATCACACAGAATTGTAGGGGTTGGAAGAGACCTCTGGAGACCACCGTGCCCAACCCACGACTGTTAGGATGCCAATTAACAGCTGGTGGGGCTCTAAATACAAGAGACAGATGTATCACCCTGTATTTTTCACATGTTATTACTTACAGTAAGACTGAGCAATAACATTTTATATGCAGCCTGGCTGATGTTCGGTGCTCCGTAACCTGAGATCAAACGGAAAGATTCCGACGACTGCATCCTGGACAGCACAGGGCGAGAGCACGGCAATATTTTACAGGAATTAAAGAAAGCGGTCACAGCTGCCACTCGATATCAACCGGGGAAAGGTTTCACGCTTTCGCGGTGCCACATTCTGGCGTATCCCACGGGGGTAAAGACGGGAGCACAAACGCACACCCGCCGAGGCGAGGCGCGCGCAGAACGGCGGGGCGCCGGGAAGGCTGGAGCCCGCCCGGAGCCGCGGGGATGGCAGCGGGCCGGACGTGCCTCTCCGCTGCCGGCGAGGAAAGTTTCCCGGCCCTCCGCCTCCCTCGGCTGCAGCTCGCCCGCCGTCCACGCCCGCCCTCCCCTCACGTTCCCCCCCGCTGCCCCTTTACCTGGGCGAGGGCGAGGCCGGCGGCGGCTCGCGGTCCCGCTCCATCGCGGCGGGCGGGAGGGGCCACCCGGCGGCGGTGACAGCTCCGGGCTAGGTGAGCAACGCCGCCACTGAGCAGGCGCGCAAGGGGCCGGAGAGAGAGGGCGGGCGGCCCCCGCGATGATGTGGCCGTGATGCGCCGCCGCCGCCGCCGTCGCCGGCCGCTCCGATCCGACGGCGGGCGGGGAAGAGCCGAGCGGCAGCCGCCGCCCCGCGCCGCTGAGAGGCGCTGATGGGATGGCGAGAGGGCGGCCGCACCCCGCAAGGGGGGAACAAAGAGGCGGGAGCTCTCCCTCGGCCCTCCGGCACTCATCTGCCTGAATCCGCAGGTGGCGGCCGAGGAGTTGTGCGAGGAGCTGAGCGCCGGCGCCAGCGCGTTGGGAATGGCGATGGCGATGCGGGACTGTCCCAGGCGGGTCTCACGAATGCTCGCACGGGAACAGAGAGAACACCACGTGTGTGTTTGACCTATTGAGCCAATATGAGGCCGAAAGGCACAGTTTGCCGGGGCACATCATTAGCGGAGATGAGACGTGGTGCACCGCGGAGGTGAGGGGAAGCAAAGGGAACCTTCCCGCCGCCCACGGCCGCCAGCAGTCGGCACCCGCCGAACCTCGCGGAGGAAGCGGTCATCCCGACCTGCAGGGGGCGCTGCGCCGCGGTGGGCGGGGAAGGGAGATCCCCACTTCCGGCCTGCGGGGCGCATGGCGGGGCTCGGGCAGGCGGCCGAGCCGGCGGCCTCTCAGGAGCTGCTGGCCGCGGGGCGCCGTGGAGGTGAGGGGCCGAGGGGTCGGTGTGCGGGGCTCCTTCGGGAGCGAGAGCTGCGGGAAGGCCGCAGTGCTTGTTAAATGAATCCTCATCTTTAGGTTTGGCATAGAAGGGTAGAGAAGGAGCAGCAGGAGGAAAGCCTCACAGTTAAAAACGTGGAGTTTGTGGTTGGTGCAGGTAAACGTGTAAATACCTGTTTGTTTCTAGGTTTGGAAGAAACGTTACTGATTAGTTCAAAGCCTGGCCGCAAGAAGGCTACGACTTTACAGACTGTAAGGGTGCCAAGGAGTAATGGTAAGTATAACGCTGTTACTAGAGCAGTGGCAGCAACTAAGTAGTTTATTTAACATAGCTGAATATTTAACGCTTGAACAATTTTAAGGTATTTTTGCTTCCGTGAATCATCAAATATTTGCTTTGGTAAAGGGGGAGACTCATTCCGTTTCTATTTGCTTTGGGTTCTTAGATAAATTACGCATAGACTTCTAGCGTTCTCTTTGGTGTGTTTCTACATGTAATGAAAAACTGAGATTCTTTAGAAATTATGTGATCTTCGAGAATTTTTCTCTTCGTGAAAATAGACCGGCGCTCTTTAGGCTCAGACTTTTGTTTCCAGTATAATCAGCCTTGCTGCTTTTTGTTGAGCTTCTTGTGTCTCTCAGATGTAATTTCTCAGTGTGAAATATTTGCTACTGTGGTTGACAATTGGGAATCAGAGTTGAAACTGAATCTATTTAGATGCTCAGATTTTTGAGGTATAAAACTATAAATAAATGTGTCTGTGTGTATGTGTATATATATATACAGGTGGTAATTATTTCTGTTTCAGTTTTGGACAGAGTACAGAGCTTTTTACCACAGATGGCTCATGCAAATGATGAGCTAAAAAGAAAAATGGTAACAGCACCAGCTCATCAGTTTGATATTGAAAATCTCGACAGTGCCACTGAGAAAGTTATAGAAATGGTAAGTAACACATTTTTGGTTCTACAAACTGTATTTTGGTATGATTAAAATAATCCTCTGATCTTACACTAAGCTAGCTTGATAAATAAGGTGGAATCTTTACCATTTTATTCTGTGACCAGCAAATTCATAATAAAAGTAGTAAAACCTTTTGGGGTTGAAATTTACTGCTTGGTTTTAATACTTGCTGAATATAATGGCTAGGGATGAAGTAGATTACGGTCAGAATAAGGTATTTTATCTTTGAATTGTAAACTCTGAACTGAAAGTAAGTTGCTCATTCTATTTTAAATTTGAAATAGGAGATTTGATTTCAAAATTGGACGTTGTTCCTAGTAAAACATAACAGAAGGCTTTAATATAATAATAGCTTTGGGTTGAAAAATGTTGTTAGTGTTATGATCTTTTACAGCTAATATTTACAGTCACAGCAATATCTTCATTCTGCTTTTAGCTGAAATTATAAGTCCACGTGCTCATGTAGGAAAATTTCATTCTGAAAGCGATGTGATATATGTGTGTTCCAGACAAGTGTCTTCTGGTCTGCAAACCCACAAGAAATAAGGCAGAAATGGGGCAGCCAGATAGTTTGGTGTGCGAGCTCTCAGAGCAACTGCTTGGATGCTGGTTAGATCATAGAATCATAGAATGGCCTGGGTTGAAAAGGACCACAATGATCACCTAGTTTCAGCCCCCCTGCTATGTGCAGGGTCGCCAACCACCAGACCAGGCTGCCCAGAGCCACATCCAGCCTGGCCTTGAATGCCTCCAGGGATGGGGCATCCACAGCCTCCTTGGGCAACCTGTGCCAGTGCCTCACCAATCTCTGAGTGAAAAACTTCCTCGTAATATCCAATCTAAACCTCCCCTGTCTCAGTTTAAAACCATTCCCCCTTCTTGTAGACTATACTCGATCTACATGCAGTAAGTTGTCAGAAAACAAAATGGATTCTAAAAATTGTTTGTTGTAACGTGCTGATGTGGAACGAGTTGGATTTTCAAAAGATTTTTCATGTGGTAGTGTCTGACAATTCTTGGCTTTACAATAAACAAGTCAGGAGATAATAGCATCATGTTATTTGCAGATCATGGAATACGTTTATTTGTGTAACGTTTATTTTTGTGTTTTGTATATTTTATATTATAAATATTTTGTATAAATACGCATTCGTGTATTTTTCGTGTAAATTTTGCCTTGCAGCATGCAGTAAGTTTTTGAGGTGAGGATCAGCAGTTTAAGACAGATATTTTCAGAGAGGAACACCTCAGAAATTACAGCTCTAGTTAAGAAAATATATGATCACTTTTGATTCACAAAGTGTGATTTAGACTACTTTGCAGTAGTTGTAGCAGCATTAATAATACCAGATGGTATGAATAACATTCATAAATGTATGCACTTTTATTTATTTATATATATATATATATATATATATATATACACACACACGTATAGCGTGACGTCTTCATACTCTAAGTGGTTTAAGTTCTTTATTGGATGCCTCCTGCTCATTACTTTAGATTTTGACTGAGTTCATCTATTTCCTTTCTCTCTTTTATGAGGATATAAAAATGCCCTTGTATTTGCTTTGGGTGATAAAAGTTACAATTTAAATACTTGGGAATCTGTTTATGATATTTGCCTTAGTCATATTAGAACCCAAAAGTCTGACTGTGGTTTTCATACAGTAGTAGAGCTGATTTGTTTGCTTTGTGTTTTAATCAAATTATGGAAGAGTACAGAAACGTATCATGTGTTAACTAAGATCTTTTCTTTCAGAACGTGGCTGTAGTTGAACTGAGTGATTCTGATACAGATGAAGAGAACCTAACTTCAGAAGATGACTCAGAATCTGAAGATGACTGTATAACTGATGAAGTGACAATAGATAACATTAAGTTTCCTAAACCAAAGGGAGAAAAGGGCAAAATAGAAATTTTGGACAGCAAAGTGAATGAGTGAATCAATTTTTATTATACTTTTTTAAAAAAAAAAAAAAAAAAAAAAAAGTATTCAAGCAAACCATGTTTTCTTACTTTGAAGACTTAGCCTTTAAATGGCATTGTTTCTCCATGTGAGATTCCTCAGGATCCTGTGAAATGCTATTGTTTACTTGGTGGAGAATTCAGGATCCACTCATGGCTCTGAAGCAAGCCACATCTCTGAAGAATTAAGTAATGTCTTATTCACCAAACAACATGAAAATTCCAAGCTTTCTTGTGAAGTTAGACTAAGAAAGCAGCTACAGGCTGGAATGTTTGAGCAGAAAGGCATACTGCAGAGCTAGTTGAGAAAATTCTTGTTCTCGTTTTGTTGAAGAAAGATTTTTGTAGTGTGCTTAGAATAAAGCTTGACTTCGAGGGCAGGAAAGAAATGACAAGGAAAAATCTGTTCTTTATTATGTCCTGTAAAGTGTTAGTGTACAATGTCTTCAATATTAAATGTTACCTTAAAGTACACTAGAAGTTGTTTGTATGTTGCCATCATCACAGTAACTGCTGAATACCAAAGCAACAGCTGAGGCTGTTTCAAGATGAGGTAGCATAGGTAAGGATAACATTTTAATAAGCCATGACTTGAAAGAGTTTAACAAAGAATTACTTATGCTTCTGGGCTTGCGCTGAGTTACGGGTAGGTTGCTGCTATTCCCTGAGCTAGCTCCTATCTGCAGTGTTTGGGTAAATACCTGTGGTACTCAGGTCAAGTCCACCTCTGTGGTGTTACAGGTGCACTAAGCCACGCTACTCATCTACTGCTTTATCACATTTCTGCTCTCCATTTTCTTAATTGTCACTACCAGAAGAATCAAAAAGTTTATTTTCAGTTGGCCTCTCCTCGGGCTAGCTTGAAACAATCGTGAAACCACAATCAGTGAAAATATGTCTCATTTGTACTTACCTCAGATTGGTGAAATACAATGATTTGGGCTGCTGTATTTACTTTACAAATTGTTTTGTGTTTCAAAAGTCTCTGTGATGCTCCTGTGTATCACACTTGTTTCTTGAAGTACTATTTTCTATTTGCTATATCATTCATATTTTCTTTATTGTATTTGCTCGGATATTAAACTTAAAAAACAATGAATTGAAACCTGCAGTTACGTACACAACTTGTTTCAAATCCAGTACTTAATTCTGAAGTTTTCTTTTTAAGACCTGTTTCAGTAGTGTTTGTGATAAGAAATTACAAGGATTCTTTTTTTTTTTTTTCCCTCTCAGTATAGCTTCTTAAAAATGGAAGAGGGGTACAATTTATTAAAATCAGCTGATTAAGTCCCAGAATATTTTAGGAAAGAGGAAGAATAGGAGTCAGGAAGTGGATCTGCTCTTTCTAATGGCAGTCCAGAGATCAGATTAAGTTTTAGGTGGAGGTACAATGTAAGAAGAGCAAGCAGCATTAAGTACAGTCTGTTTGTTGGGTAAGGTCTTGAGCTGTATGGAAAACTTCAAACTGAAGAAAATTTGAAAACCAAAGTCTTAACTCAGTCATTTTACAAGAGATTTTTGCATAGATTTAAGAAGGAAAGACATTTGAAGTACAAAGTAATAGTCATGCCATATAAAACTGATAAGAGTCCGTTTGCACCAAGTGATTTTAATCTTTTAATGTAGCCACTTTTCAGATTGCAGGCTGATCACATGTTCCATTTCAACAAGAAGATAGAAAATATTTTCAGTAACTTTAACTTGGTATGCATAGTTAACATGGATGTTGAACTCTGTATGTACTATACAAAGATCATAGTAAGTGCACTTCCTTGCATTGATGTACTTCTTATGGCACAAAGGTTTTCTGTACTGCTGACGACTCACCAGAGCAGAATGTTAAGTTGCTACTGTAAAATCTGAACCAGTTAATAGCAAAAATGATATAATATGCATATTTTAGTTCAATTTTAGAAGAAACCTAAGAACTAAGTTTAAAACGTTCATGTAAATGTGATCACACAAATAAGAAGTAGGCATGTGAGAATTTTCTATTCAGCTGTATTTTTTAAAAAATAAGCCAAACTACTTTTTTATTTTTGGCTTGTGCTAATCACTGCTACTGTTGCTGGATCATTTATATGGTGTCAGGCTAATTCCTAAATGCTTCTGTCTTTCTGTGAGACTAAAATTTGGACCTGATTTAAAGAAATTTTCTATGGAATGAGTGTATTTGTTTTTTAGTTGCAGCACTGCAGATGGCATATCCCAGGCATGGTATTAAGTGGAGCCTTTAAGATTAGAACTGCCAAAAGTTTACTTTCCAAGTGAGGCTGTTAATATTCCACAGTGACCGCCTTCGTTCTAAGATATTCATGAAGAGCTTCTTCACCTGTACAAGCAAATATTAACCAGTTAGAATAGTGGCTAAAGGAGAGAAAGCTGTCAGGAAAGGTAACTGTATCATTAAAATAAATTCGTAATGTTTTAGCCAACATTTGAGTCCTTGAGACACGATGAGAAACTAATGCATTTACTCTCCCTTTAAGATTTACAGGACTGGTTTAACAAGAAGAGGCCAAACCCAACAAGTATGGAAAGAAAATGCAGCTGAATTTTAACAAGCTGCCACCTGAGGGGAGTACTGAAGCAGCAGCAATCTCTAGGTGGCAACGTGTGTGGAGGAGCTTGGAGCTGAATTTAAGAATTGGTTTGCCTATGTTAAGTTTCCAGGTTAAAAAAAAATTACATTACAAAATTACATTACATAGGGATTTTTCCCCTATTAATAATGTTGATGAGGGGGGAAAAAAAAAGGGGGCTAATACTTGCTAGGGATTCCAAGGGCAAAAATTTGTTGTATTACTCTTTGCCATGAGGCGTGATCTGTCCAGTCTTGTAATAAAATGAACAATACTGGAGATACTGAAGTGGGATTTGTAAGGACAGGAGAAGAATTAGATCACTTAGCTGGAGGAATGTGGGAGATGCAGGAAATACATCTGTAGATTTCAGGTAATGCTATTTTTTCATTGACTTGGATTGTCAGATGAGAAATGAGGGGAGAGAAGAACTTACCTAAATCTTTTCCAAACCCAGACTGTTTAAATCCACCAAATGGTGCTGCCACATCAGTTTTGTTGTACGTATTGATAAAAACTGTTCCAGCTTCCAGCTTTTCACTGATATAGAGAGCTTTGCTTATGTCCTTTGTGAAAACTCCGGAGGCCAAACCATATTCTGTGGTGTTTGCCCGTTGCAGCACTCCGTCGATATCCCTGGAGGAGAAAACATTGATTTAATTGCTAGGAGGTAAAACAAGTATGTGCTAGCAAGCTTTGATCCTCAGTTTGATAGAAACATCTTTTGCCATGATCCTTCTCTTAGCTGTTACAAAGACACAGTTTAGTAAGGACTACTCTCTGTGTCAGTCTGTCTCAGTTACGGAAATTCATACACTTGCTTCAAGCTTGTAAAGCATGTGTTTGCATTTCGGTGTTTAAGATCTACACTAGGAAATGTCAAAAGAAAGCTGCATTATGCACACTTATCTTCACTCAACTGCACTGTACATCTCAGGGATCAGAAGAATACAAAATGACTTGTAAAGCAGAACTTGGCAGCACGTCTTGAGTCAGTTTGCTAAAGTCTGTCAGTTAATGGAGTAAATGCTGGACCTTAGCTGTCCATTTCAAGCAGTCTTTTCAAGCAATGTTCAAATTGCTATTTCTATCCAATCTCAATTAATTTTAAAAATCCATATGTTAAAGCTTCAAAAACTTATTACAATCCTGTATTTCCACACATAATTTGTAGACGTAAAACTTCACTTTCATGCTGCAGAAAAAAGAAACCTGGTGGAAACAGCTGTATGAAATTTCTACATAAGGCTGTTGTTATATTATCTGTTTGTAAAATAATTCCTATGATGTAAAATGAAAGCTACTAAAACTGGCACTCCACAAAATATACAGGGGCATTTTCATTTACAGGAGCAATGTGCCAGCCTTAGACAATGCACAAACACTATGAGGTCCTTTTTGTCCACTGGAAAAAAATGCACCTTTAGCAATTTGATCCAACCTCTGCGTTTGTATCAATTTGAGTAAAAATCTTTCATTGAAAATTGAGTCTTATTTAAGAAATGGTGCTTGGTGCTCCCTCCTACTTCCTTGCACACTTGTAACAGCATTTATTCTGTACTGACATGGAGGACACTCATACTAGAAAACCTCTGAATTTAGCAGAAAGAGAACCTGAGTTTCAGCTAGATCTTAGAAGATTAAAAGAACCATTCAATGTATTTCAACACACGGTGAAAATAAGAAGAATGTACCCATTTTTAAATTTGGAAATGACCATCACTGGACCAAAGGATTCTTCCTGGGCAATGTACATATGGTCTTCAACATCTGTGAATACAGTGGGTTCCATGAAGAAACCTAAATAGAGGATAAAACAGCGTCTAAGTGAAGACAAAATGCTTTGTTGTTTGTATTGTCCAGGCTATCTGTACTTAATGTCACAGATACATTGAGGCTTGAAACAGAAAATACCAAGATTAATAAGAATAAATAGTGAATGGTGATGCATATGTATAACAGCAGAAAGAAGGCTAAAAGAATGGCCTTTCTTGATGAGAGCAGTTAACATGTGGGTCATGTCCAGAGAAGGCCTGCATGCACAAGGCTAGGCTGCTCCTCAGGGACAGATCCTGCATTCTGGTAGCAGGAAGGCAGTGTTACAGAATGTCAGAGAGACCACTGCTTCTCTTGTTACCTGACAAGAAGATAGCCATACATATCTGTATCTTCCAAAAACAAGAAAAAAATATGCAATGGGCAGCAACTTTGCCTACGGTTTATTGAGGTTTAACTGAAACAAAAGCTCACCTCACAACTACTGTTCCTTTCTAAGCAGTATAAAAAAAACAACTATAAACTAGTTCACGTTGTTGTCAATCAAGAACTGTTACAGTGTTAGATATAAGTGATTTTGGGTATCTCCATCTGCAAGAGTGAGTACATTTCATTGAGAGTGGATAAAGCCAGCTTCCAGTGTTCTGTATAATCACCTTTTCCTTCCTATTTTGTTACACTGACTTGTTACAGCTACAAATCTGCATTTTCATTTTCTTTGTGGATGCAGTCATATTTTTAAAATTCTCATGCAAATGTTTCTTCTCCATTACCAATAAAGGACTGATCATCATGACAAAATGTTGCTTTTATGCCTTCCTGTTAAACTCTTCATATAACAAAGTCTTGATATAACAAAACAGGCTTTTGATAATAATATCTAATGCAGACTCTTTCCACACAGCTTAAGTATTCTGCTCATCAAAGTGGATGATTACAGTTACAGCTCTTGACAATTCAAGGTTGTTGCAAAAAAGGCCTCCATGCCTCATAAACAATACAAGTAAATGAGTGCAAGATACTGCTACAGATGGGAATCTTGACTCATTTTGATATATTATATTTCAGTTGCACAGCATTTTTTAATATGTGACTTGAATACTCTGTCCTCAGGTGTTTTCTTGGGTTTGCCTTGTACTCTTTCCATGATGTTGCTGTTTTCTAACTCCTAACACCTTTGACCAATATCTTACCTGGTCTACATACTTGTCTTCCTCCATACACTAGAGTGGCTCCTTCCTTCACTCCAGTTTCACAATAGTTAAGCAGCTTTTCCAGATGGGCTTTGTGATTCTGTGGGCCATGATCTGTTGATCTATCAAGTGGGTCACCGATTTTCATCTTTTTTATTTCTTCCACCTATGGGTTACCCAAGCAAAACGAAGTTACATAACAAGTAGTTGTTAAAATGACCGGTGATTCAGCATGCTTTGTTATTAGTGTTGCAAAGCTTGGCTCAAAAAAGGGATGCAATCTTAGAAGGTGAATGCTCTTCCCCTTCTAAAATGGGGCTGTTTATATGGTCTTGTTTGGTTAAGTTCCGGTTACTCCTTAAAGTTTTTGATGCAGTTTGCATGTAATAATTCTCTTATGCTATTATGAAAGCAGGTGAAATGTTAGCTTTTACCAGGAGTAAGTGAGTTACCACAATAATTTCCTGGGCTAAGCTAGATATATGAATTGTCCAGCAGCTCACTGAGGCTCACTGAGGATTTTTATGACCAGCTACTCTTCCAATACGCCTTTTCAAAATTTCATAGCAGTCTTCAGTCACAGTGACTGAAGTTCAAGTCATTGTTTTCATTTTACTTTCCTAGTGCAATATGAAGTATCACTGAAGATGCATTATCTACTTCAATGTCACTTATCTGCATTATTGATGAAAATATTTGCCTTCAGTGTCTTTCTTTTGACACTGTAAGACATTCACAAGAAGCAGAATAGTCTATGGTAAGCAACAACAAAAATAACAAGAAAAGCATGTGTCATAGCAGCTTTGTGCCACAGTAATACGTCTGCTTAAACTTTAGTCTTCAACTATCTTACCACTTTTCTAACAAATTCGTCATGTATTGACTCCTCCACAAACAGCCTGCCAGCAGCAATGCAGTTTTCTCCTTTGTTGAAATATACTGCTCCCATACCCTGATTGGGGAAATAAAAAACATTTATATTTATATTTTCATAGGCATCCTTCTGTTTCATTTGCTGACTGCAAAGTTTCAGCTTTCACTTTCCATACATGAGTGAAGACATTCAGACTCTTGTCCTGCCAACAAAAGTTCAAAAAAATATGGGAAGCTTTCCTTCTGCTTTTGTTGGTTCAAAGAACTAATGGAATTAGCGCTTCTTGTAAGCACGGTGTGGGAGATCTTTATTTGCTTCTTAGTGAGTGAACTGTTTCTGCTGTCATTTTGATCACCTGAGCAGGAAATAAGCTTAAATCTACCATATTTCTAATTTTCACACTTTACTCATGTACTTAAACACCTTATGGCTAGTCGGGAAGGTGGATTATGTGATTGATGGTGAATTAATAGGCACTGTGTGACAACAGGGAGTATACTGTATATTTTAGCTCATTTTCAGGCTTTTCTTTTTAAAGCTTGTTTTTCTTGGCTAATAGATTTTGACAGAAATCACTTCTAATATGTTAACTTGGCTGATGTAAATTCTTCCTTGTCATATTCTCTAATGTATCCCTATCTTTTTGGTGCTGCACAAATAAGTTAATTATGCCAACACAAAGAAATATCCTACAGAAAATGAGTCTGTTTTCTAACAGATTTCATGAATCTTCATGCAAGGGCTTCCTGCTGCAGTTTTTGACAAGTCCAGAAGAGTACTGCAATACTGTGAGCATGTAACATCAAGGCTTCAAATATATTTTACTTCAAACTAGTTACCATTTTTACAGCTTTGTCAAGTTCACAGTCATTGAATATGATCAGTGGTGATTTACCGCCAAGTTCAAGAGAAACCTTCTTCAGATTAGTGGCTGCACTGGAAAAAAAAAAGAAAAAAAGAACAAAAAACCTTTTAAACAGCTCAATTCATTTCCTTTCAATCATATCTAGTGAAAATGTACAGTATAAGCCTCTACTTTTCAACAGTGACTTAGCAGAATTTGAGATAAATGTAAACAAGCATATGTAGGTATGCTTTTCTACTATGGCTACATGAAAGATATTGCTAATAAGGTGCTTAAGAACTGGATTAAGCAGCATTTATTCATGAATCTTATGTACCTCTTCATGATCTCTTTACCAGTTGGTGTGGATCCAGTGAAGCCAACTTTGCGAACATCTGGATGTTTAGATAAGTGCTGTCCCACTAAGCCACCTGGGATGAGGAAAACACCTTAACTGGACAGTACAAATATGATTTTTACTACCCCAGCAACAGCAATGTATACAGAAAGACCTATGGAAACCCAATAAAATATTACATTCTGGTTGATATTTACAGCTTTATTCATAGGACTACAAAAATCTCATATTAGTTAACTTAAATCACATTGATGGGTCCAAATTCTCCCATCTTTCTCTTGTTAAGATTTTTTTTCCTAATATTCCACTTCAGGTGCAATAGTATAATTTGTAACAGAGTCTGCTCCATACAGTTGCTCTGTCATCTCACTTTTTCAGGGGAAAGATGAAAATGATGACCTAAGGTTATGTGGTATGAAGAACAGCTAGTTTATAGTGACCACGAAATATCTGATAGCTTGCTCTAGGCCTCACAGTCACATTTAAATACTTCCAAGTGATTATAAAATTAGGAGAAAAAAATGAAGTCTTATAGGCAAGTGCAATTTGTTTCTCTGTAACGCATTCTCTTTTTCAGAGTTTTCATGCTGTTTGTATGAGCTTGGAAAAGGTGCGGGCTGACAGCTCTTACCATGAGGTAGAGTCACGTGACATACAGAAATTTCCAATTCTGTTCAGGAAAATACGTCAAATTGCTGCATGTCATGGATGCAAGACTACTATCAACAAAGACAATGAACTTATGTAACAGGTCTTCAAAGGTGAAATACTAGTACACCAGCTTTAGTATGACCTGTTCTTCATAGAAAAATGATTTCATAGCACTACAGAATCACTCAGGTTAGAAAAGACCTTAAAGATCATTGAGTCCACAACCTAACCATACTACCCTAACTCTAACAGCCCTCCGCTAAATCACATCCCTCAGCACCATATGGAAATAGTTTTTAAACACATTCAGGGATGGTGACTCAATCATCTCCCTGGGGAGCCTATTCCAGTGCTTAACAACCCTTTCTATAAAGAAGTGTTAAAGATTTGTTAAAGTTTTACCTGAACCAGGCAGTATATTTATAACACCCTTAGGAAATCCAGCTTTAGCTGAGAGTTCTGCAAACTTCAAGGCAGTCAGAGGTGTAACCTAAGTAGAAACACTTAGGTTAGGTCTCCTGTTTTAATGAAATGCATAGTAATTACTCTTACACTCAATAGTTCTTCACTTTGATACAATATGCATCTTCTTCCTCACAGTACTGACAAATCAAAAATGGCATTTTCTTGCAGAAAATAAATCATTCTTGAAAATGAAAGTACCATTAGAGCAGAATTTAAAATAATCAGTACCTGGTATGAGCACAGTAATTTATATAATTATACCTCCACTTTAAAATATATGAACAGGTCAAGCTATGGATGAAATCTGCTAGATGTATGAACTGTTCTGTCTGAACAAAATACTGGAAGGCCGGAGCCACTTGAGCATTCCTTTTACTTCTTACCTGAGCTGTCTTGAGAACCAGTGTGTTGCCTGCAGCTAAGCATGCTGCACTCTTCCATGCAAGCATCATCAGTGGGTAATTCCAAGGGATAACAATGGCACAGACACTTAAGATTCAAAACAAACAAACAAACAAACAAACCAGAAAATCAGGCAAAAATTATAGTTTTGAATGCAGCCTTATAATGATTTTTCTATATGCCCAGGCTGTCACTAAGAAGGAAAAAAAAAAGATAATTACCCTATTGGCTCTTTCTTGGTGAATGTTAGATTATGGTTTGGCCGGGCCTGGTTAATTGGAATTGTAGCACCCTGAAAAAAAAGACAGATTAATACTGGTACCATTTAACCATTTATTTTTTGCACAAATACAATTGCCATTTAAGTATATTTTAGAAAGCCACAGAACAGTCTTTAAAACCAGAAGCATTTATTCAATTTATGCATCATGGAAAGAGGGAGATGTTTACACTATAACATTTCCTGCTAAAAGTCCAGTAACCACCTCCCCATTTTCAGCTGGGTGACATAAAAGCATAGATAATAAAACTATGGAAGAGCATAGGGTGAGGAATGAACGGAGGAAAGAAAGCTGAATGATATCCTTCGTTGTGCACCTTAAAGATACTTCAGGACATGTTGTTGAACTTATGCCACTTGCTGTGGTACCAAACAAGCATGCCAGCCTTGCTCAGAACATAATATATAGCATGACTGTAACACAGTGATTCTGCTCCAGGAATATTCAAGAACTGACTAAGCATACCTACCCAACGACATCTCAATTAATTTATTAGGTATTTGGAGTCAGACTCTTATTCTTAAATTGAAAGTAGACTGTGCTTTTTGTATTGTCTGAAGACTCACTTTAGGTAAAATTCTAATTTTAGTTTATTTTTTGAATTTCTTGGTTGATTTTGTCAATACTACTTTTCGACACTATATCAGCAAAAAGAAAAAGAAATGTGTAAAGAAACATCACCATCAATTGCTTTCTTTACACTTTCACTTGCCTGAATTTTGTCACACCATCC